TAACCGACGCTTGCTCTTTGCTACATTATCTATAGTCTTTGAACTTCTAGATATTCAAACGATCTTCGAGACGACTATGCTACTTTTGATAGTACTTATATCAGGAAGCAGTAAATATGGCTCCAGCGATGATACTATATACTACGCCATCCCTACTGCCGGGGGCTGGACCATGACAGTGCCCTACAACCTAGGCCTCCTAGGCCCAGCCGTTGAAGGATAGTCTATCTCCCTCCCCCAGTCTTGTAAGCTCCTAAGCCACCATGCTATGGAGCTTCTTGCTTGTTTTTATGAAAACCTCCTCGTTTCGGCCCTGGCGTACCCGATCGCCGATCTGCAGGCAGAAGCCCGGGAAAATATCATCGGAGGTTTGGCTGTAGCCCTCCGCCAGCCCCGACTTTGCGAGGAATGCTCGAAATCCTGCCGGGGTGAACTCAAAATACTATAGAACCTACGCTACCGGTCTCACACGGACGGGGCCCTCGTACACCCAGATATACATCGGGTCGCTGACTATATAGTGCTCGGCGACCTCCGGGAAGGGGCTCGGCTTGTCCTCATTGTTTGGCTTGGAGACGTTGACTCCGAGGATTTATAGTAGCTGACGATGAGGCTAGAGAGTGTGAGGGAAATCGGTCAGTATCGTATATAGCCACGTGTGGAATATCATCGCCTCGGTGTCGACTTGTATATCGTCAGTTTCCTTAATATTACCAGCTCATGCGCAATTGCAGATGTCTTTGAACAACCAAATCGGGCCCATGTAACTTAAACAATGCGTGACAAGGTGAAAAACTCAACCCTTCAATATTGTCAACTGTAGCCATAAAGATATGTAAGATATTGTAACTTGCTGACATTTCCTAACAGCTCTACAGAATATACTTTTGAATTTTGGCATTTTGTATATATTATGAAGAATGAGGTGTGTGAGGGGGGACATACAATCATATGTACCAATAATATGACGTGATTGTTCTCCAGTAAAGTTGCTTGGCTTTCCTCTCACTCTGAATAGATTTAGTTTTGATGGACTTCAGGTTCAATAATTCATGAAGGGTTCAGGCTCTGGTGATGTCAAGAGCCATTGAAGTTAATTGATGAGGTAGACTACAAGCCTCACTACTGATTGGAAATTTATCGTATCCACATCTGGTCAAACCCTAGCTTAAGAGATAATCAGCAGGAATCCTTCTTTCTCCAAGCTTTTGATCATTTACCTTTGCTTATCACCTCAAGGCTTCTTGGTCTTCAGTTCATGTGGAAAAGGGCACACAAGGCCATGGACCGTGAGACGGTGCTCAAAGGCGCACTTCGCGCCTTTATTACAGTTGCCATACGTTTTCCAGAATGGACACTCTAGTCTGTCGTGCGGGGCATCCTGCACAAGTCCATGATAATATGGTGGGTGTGAAGTAGGGTGAGAGCAAGCGCTGTGGCCCTTAAAGGATAACCACCACGGGCATATAAGCCTTGTCTGAGCATGGTATATTGTCTGCGGCTGTGAAGAGCCGAGTTTAGGTGAAGCAACTGTATTGATTTGTTCGGATGTCGGCTCGGGAGGTGGAGTTATGATGGTGTCGGAGACACTCGCTGCTGCGAGCCGGGGTTGTGTTGTCTGAGCACCTCTAGTATCGGCGATTGCTTCAACCGCCTGGGTAATCGGAATGTCGCCATGGAAATCCATGTCCAGCATGGACTTTACGTTGTCAGAAGCGCTGTTCTGTGATCGAATGGGGTCCATGAAAGTCTGGCCCGTGCTGCGGACGTAGGTCTCTTGAATTTGACAGATAGGAATTAGTTGTTCCGTCCGGTGGCCCTCGACTTCTTTTGTGATTAAGGCTTTGAGGTCCTGTGAACACTCCGCGGGAATTATGCCAGCAGTGACTAAGTCATCTAGCTCCTTTGAAATCTCTGTCAGCTAAGATCAAGAGTAGCACTTCCATCATAGGAGTCTATATGATATCTCACCGTGAACACCCGATCGGTTGCGTTCATTTCTGAGTTGTGGGCACAGGTTTTGTATCTCAGGGAGTTGTTATGGAGGGGAAATAAAAAGCGGCAGAAATGTCCAAGGTGAAATAAAAACACGACAAGATTCCAAAAGTCCCCTCAACATCGCATGAACAAAGGTCATGTGAGTAAACAATAGCAACATCTCCCTCCTTTCCATCTTCATTGGACACTGTTCATAATGGCTATATATCTCTGTTACAGTTATGTAATCTAATACTGACCATCTCAATTCCATATCTCTCGTGCTGTCAAGAGCCACGGTCAATTTATAAGAAGACTTCAAGGGACCGGTTTTCACTACAGCTGAATGGGGAAATGCTTGCTCACAAGAGTGCCATTTGCAAACTATGACAATCAGCGCTGTTTCAGAAATCGTGAATGAATAGCCGGGGCAGTCAACGGAATATCCATGAAGTCAAGCACAAATGACGAAGCGTCCACGGAGTACAAGTATCAAGGTACGATACATTAAGAGTCTAACAGCAACATTTGTTGAGTGAAGCAATGCAAAACTGTGTTTGTCTAGCAAATATATAAGTTGACTACTCTCCATGAATCAACACAGCCTCCGTTAATATGATTCTAGCTTGCGTGAACCGCAATGACAAGACTCAATTAGTCACCCCTTGTGATTTTGACCCTCAACATGTATTGCAATCTGACTTGCGGCAAGATGACTCCTTCCACGCAAAGGAAGAGCTATTAGGTTGATAAAGGACATCCATCATCAGAACATGTGACAAATGAAAATCTCATGACATCAAGAACACTGCATGAATCAAGATTTGTAGGCGCTCAAACTGACTCATCCTTGTTTGCTCGGACTGAAAGATGATATGTCAGTATCCAAGATGGAGACCGACTAAAGTGAATGGGAAGAGTACTCACTGGAACCTGATTTCTTGGAACGCAAACTCATCCAACCCCATCCACCTCGACGGTGGAAAGTGGGCGAGGCAGTATACACTCCCGAATCAGGCTGAGCCCCGAACATTCGTGGTCCAGTTTGCTCGTCCACAGGACTGATTGAAGAGCGAGCGCCGTCGTCACCGGATTTCAGCTCAGTCCGGCCCACCATTTGAAGTCCACCGTGCTCATCACCGATTCCGAGCATATGTAGCTGCGTTGCTCGACGTTTGCGCAGGATCTCTGTCTTGCGACAGTAGAAGAGGCCGACCACTAGGACAATGAAGAGGATGACTGTCCCGCAGATGATTCCAATCTCAGCGCCGCCCATGGTATGGCGATTATCGCCCGAGCTGAAGTTAGAGCCGGGGTCCATGAAGCCATCGCCCCCCTTGTCGGCGGTGTTCTCGAATGACATGTTGATGAATATTTGATATGCAGTATAGATCTGTCATCATGTTAGTTCGTCTTCAGACGCACCGTAGTGAGGCCAAATCATATTCTTGGGATAGTTGGCGAAAACACGAAAATGTTGGTGAAACTGACATAAACTCGCAGGAAAGAGGGTTCAGGCTAAGGCGAGTTCCCGAACTGCTTCCTAATCGTCGAGACCACGAAAAAAGATTGTGAATACTAGAGGCTGAGCGTGGACGATTTAAGCTAAAAGATTAAAAGGACGATATTGGGCTCATTAAAGAGATGACGGTCTTCAAGAGGACTCAGTATGGTAGCAGGTGGTTTCTTCTGAGGACCTATTGATCTGGGGGTGGTCGGCAAAGCAGCCCGAGATAATTTGAGGGTTTGTTGTTTGCTCCGATGGTCCACTTCCGTTTCTACCTATTTTGAATTATCTGGTACAGTTTTGATGATTCAATTGACAGTTTGCGGTAGACGGATCTGTTAAATTGTAGATGTTGTTTGAAAATGTGAATGTCAAGGCGGCAGGGAGGGAAGGTGCTGTTTAACTAACAGTGTTCCTTCCTCACACTGAATGGCCTTCTATCTGTGAGACGGCGCAAATGCAACACCAATGTAAGAGCTCCAACTATCAGATTACAGCCCGTTCTAAAGACACAATAGCAGCTTGGGACAACGGCAGCTAACACATACAATAGCACCTGGGTAGAATACAGGGCAAGCAGACATAGACGTCTTTGATCGGCACAAATGTCAACGGTTGTTCGCCCGAAAGATCAATATGATGTTCGACGGCTGTTGTCTCACCCAGAGATCTCCAGACCTGTAAGATCTCAGAGCTAACGAAATGGTCTCGATTTCCAATGTTGAAACGGCGGCATCGCGGGTAGATGCAGCACGTTCCCGTACCTCCGTTGTACAGCATCCGGCAGACGCCTAGCGACCGACCAGCCGATGAACGGAAGATGTTCGTTGCTGATAGCCAACAATTCTAAGACAAGGCCGCCAAAGATAAATTCCGAATGGCGGCTTCTCTTGCATAATCGGGGCATGCATGTGCACTGTAGAGAATGGGCCTCGTGGTTCAGCCTAGTTTTCCCACAAACGATCATGTGCGCGACACGGCCGCTCCTTACTTCAACCCAGATTAGGAGGGAGATTGTATGGTATGACTGCATCTAGATTGGTCTCACCACGAAGAGAGGTCTTGCTTGTGGAATACGGAATGCTCAAAGAATTACATTCCCTGACAGCCGCTCTAGGCAACACCAAGGGCCGCTCTTCCGTATTTGTCTCACTCTCGTTGTTGGTCGAGGAACGATGCATGTCTGGATCTCCATTCGGAAGACCCGTGCAGTCTTTCGCCTTATCCAAGATTCTGCAAACGCAATATCAATCATAGGGGTATCATGCCGACCTTACAGCCTTTGTACAACAAAACAGTCGGTCCACTGTGGCTAAGTAACCAAGCATCATCGTCCCGAGCTTCGATGGAAGGAAATCTCTGCAGGATCCTGTAGGCCGTGTATGAGATATTTGTGATGGCGAATTGCTCCCCAATACAACGACGAGGGCCACCCTGGAACGGCAACCAGTCCCACGAGCTAGATCGTCTCAGTCAGTATCTTTCTAAATAGAGCGCCTAAAGTAGTCATTGCGACTCACTCAATATCAAGGTCATCCCACCGCTCAGGGCGGAAGATGTCTGCGTCCTCTCCATAAAGGTCCTTCCTGCGGTGGAGGCTGTACAGCACCCATCGACACGGCGAGCCTTTCCTCACATAGACAGGGGCTTTGCCATCAGGGCCGCCGCCGCACGGCAATACCGTATCCTTATTCGCGGTCCTCGAATTGATCGGCACTGGAGGGAAGAGTCGAAGTGTTTCTTTGATGACATTGCTCAAATACTTCAGGCCTCTGACCTGAGTCCAAGTAGGATTGTCCCCCGAATCGCCCAGCTGCGTCATCTCCTCCCTGATCTTCGCTACCACATCCGGATGGCGCGCCAGAAACCAAAAGAGCACCGTCATGGCAATAGCCGTCGCGTCTCGTCCCGCGAACATGATTCCCAGCAGCTGATCGCAAATGTACTCCTGATCCGCACCGGACCCCACCAGGGCATCGATGAAGACGTACTTGCGCTCTCGCCTCTTGGCTTTATCCTCAGTGCTCGCTTTCTCTGCGTACTCCCGGATCCAGTCTATCATGACTCTCCTGGCAGCCGCTATTTTGCGGTCGGGGAGGATGAGATTGAGTGGTCCGGTGTATGCATATTTCGCATTCGTGTAAAGCACGTACTCAAAAGCATCAGTGAATCGCTTAGCAGATGGGGATGCTTCGGTGAGCGTGTTTGTGGAGGAGCCAAACCTAGATTTGGTGAGTTCAGGATGCTTGTCACACGGAGCAGACATAAACTCACAGAAAATCCGTCGAAGAGTCCATTGTTAATTTCAGGAATAGAGGCTGTAGGTCTACTGTGCTTCCATCCTTGGGGATATGCTCTAGAAAACGCGAAACATGCCGGTCAAACGCCGCAAGGTCCGCGATCTCATCACGGACAAAGGCCGGCTTGATCAAATCTCTCGCCGCACGCCCTATTTCAATACTGTCAGCATTGCTTCCAACCGAAACAGTCCATACCCCTAAATCAACACAGATAAACCTCCCGTCATTCGCTCGACACTCACCCGCCTCCAGATCCAAATCAAAAGAAGGCTTACACTTCGCCCCATTGTTCGTAAAGATACTCCGCCTCCCAAAATTCTGCACGGCACTCCACAGCCTTGGGCCAGCAATGTCCCAGTCCTCAAAGTTCGTGCTTTGAATCGTCTTGACTATCTCCGGCTCGTCCGTGATGATCATTCCGCCCCACGGCCCATTGTCCACGAACGTATGGCCGACCGTGTCCAGCCGCGCCTTCAGCGCGTCCATGACCCTGTGCTCCTTGAACGCCCGTCTCATACCGGCGACGACCTCCTTCTTGGGGAAAGGGTACGGCTTCACCGGCTTGCAGCCCAGCCTGTTTGCGCGGATGGCAGCCCGGACGCTATCGAGAAAGACCCATTGCGTAAAAAGGAGGAGTGCTGCGAGACTGAGATACAGGAAGACTGAGCGCCGGTGTTCCACCATGTCTGCCGAGATGCCCTTGATCGCCTGGATGACCGACCAAGCAGTCAGCGGCGACAGCGCCGCTAACTGCAATGTAGGGCGAAATACGTTTGCCATAGCGAAGATATCTACTGTCAGGATGACATGCAAGCCCATATCGTGGAGACAGTCGGGAAGCAGGTTATTTGTAGTCGACGAGTCTCACAGCCTCTACCAAGGTAAGGCAGTTGGAGGCGTCATATTCTTATTTCGCCCACGACCCGAGGTTCCCAATGGCATGCGACGACCCGTACTCGACGTTCCGAAGAGGTTGCGGCGGATTGGAATACTCGACGCCTAAACCAAATGATCGTCTCCATGTTGTCGAGCACTGATTTGGCGTGTCGTGTGTGCCAAAGGCCCTCATACGTTCAAGCAGTACGATGACGCCCCCATTGGGTGGTCCACGCCTTCTAGGATCCGCGCGCCCTTGCGCTTCTGGGGCGTCAGCACGGTTGCCGATCACCACTGCTGCGGCCAGACTTATATAAGATGACAGCCACCTGGTTGCTGAATTCGAAGTACAGTCCAGGGCGTTTGATTGGATGTAAGCAACCAAGGCGTTTATTCTTGTCCATGTTTCCAAAGTGTTATGAGACAGCTCACCAGACATCGATGCACAGTTATTTGAATGTCATGATATTCATCAACGCAGTCATTGCAGACCGCAGCCGTAGCCTATAAACATGCCCTGGAGCTTTCTCGTGCATATATACGTTACGTTATCCGAGTCTTCCCTAACTCAGGTATGATGATGTATGATGGCCACCTGGTTTTGGCGTACCAAGAATGCAGATAATCCCTTGGAAGTCCGTCCAACGCGATGACCTACCAGCCGGTATTGCTTTCCTATTGGTCGTGGAATATGTAAAACAGGAAGCCTAAAGACATCAAGAAACGCTGCGCAATAGCCGTTCAAATCACGTCCAAAAACGCCAAAAGCAATGAGGTGTCGTTAAAGCATATGCTCCTTCTCGCTTGCCGTAGCTGAGACGGTTATGCCTAGCCCACTATGCGTGCCGCTGATCTGCCATTGCTCCAATACACGGCTCTACGCATATTGTTGCGGCTGGTTCTGCGCCATCGGGCTTTTTTTCTTTAGCGAACTCCGTTTTGATGAGTTCGATTTCCTTGGAGCCGCTCCGCCGGAGAGCTCCTCCACTCGTGGGTGTGATGGCAAGGATGCTATGATGCCAAAGCCTGCACCACTTCCTCGTCTTGGGTCGTGAGCACCTCCAAAATCATCATCCTGTGTAGCTCGTCTGGGACGCCAGGCTTCACGCACTTCATCACCATCACCCGATCGACGATCTCGTGGCCTGGACATGACAGCAGGTGCCGCTTTTTCGGTCAACACCTCGTTAGAGCTCTGATCGCTGAACGGCCGCTCTATTCCTTTGCCCTTCTCGTTTGCGGTCGGTAGTCTAGACTTCTTACGTAGAAGAGCCGCACCTGGCGCTGCGAATATCACGCCTGCAAACTGCTCACGCATCGTTTTGTCGCTCGTCTCGTCGAGAAGCATGAAGATCATTCCAGCCAACAGTGACAAGATTAAGACAACCGTAACAATGTACGCACCGACTTTGTCAGCCGTAGTGATCGGGTCCATCTCATCAAGAATGCTGAAAGGATCTGTTCGTCCTACATCTGAGCCGCCAGCAGAAGGGTCGCCCTGGCTCGTACCACCAGTAGAGTTCGTGACTGGCGCGGTGACTTCCTGTATCATGTTCGCGAGCACGACCTCCATGGCAGCCATCTGTTGGCCAACACCTGTTGAGCCGTCCCATTTGCCATCGGTCGTCCACTTGAGCCCGCACATCTTGCCATTGTCGCCGCCTGTGCATTGAGCTGCTGCCGCCACAGCGGAAGATCTGAGAAGCGGCTTGATGCGATCGAATGTCCAGGGTGCCCACTTTGTGGTAGCTGCCATCCAACGGCTCAGGTACGCCTTGAAACTCTGTTGGTCAAGGTCGCACAAATCTACCGGCTCACAGGCCACTTCGGTCATAATGTCGCTATCGTTGCCAGTGAAGAAGACCTTAGTTCCATTCAACAGGCCGTCGACACGCTCCCTCCACATTTCCCGCGTGTCGCCCGTGGTATAGTTGTACATGGCTGCAGCGCCGAGCAGGAAGCCGCCAGCATTGTAAGACCATTGGTAGGGTGTGAGCTTAGTGCAGTTGTCGTCGATATCTCCACCGTCGTAGATGTACCAGCTTTCCAGGTTCAGCAGCTTCGAGTCAACCATCCAGTCCCAGGTCCTTACCGCCCAATCGGCATAGCTCTGGTTGTTTGTGTACAGCGCCAAGCGAGCGGCGATGTTGAAGAAGCACGCCTGGGATATACTGTTCTTGTAGTCGAACCCGTTATTCCAAGTGAATATTTGCCATCGGAGGCCCCCGTTGCAGTGCTCAGTGTCCCAACGCGCGGCTTGGGTATTGAATACGGCCTGTGCTAGGGCTAGCCATTGTGGTTTGTCTGCTGGCGGGTTGTCGAAGTTGTACTCGGCAGCCGACATGACTGCCATTCCCCAAAACCCCTGATCGTCATTTCCCTCTGTCAGTGTCTGGTTTGGCGGCATATAATCGTTATTCGGGCCAACTTGAAAAAGAAGACCCTGCTGTGTGATGTCGTTCCATTTCGTGTCACCAGTGTAATACCAGTAATCAACCAGAGCTCCCATCATGGCGCCGGCTTCCCACCAGTAATATGGCTGGGGGAGTAAACCAGGGGTGCCGCCAGGTTCGTTCCCTGTGTAAAATGACATCATGTCGTCTGCCATTGAAGAAGCAATCTTCTTGATTGAGTCTAGACATTTTGGATTAGCCTGTGGAGTTTACTATTGAATTTGTCCTTCCCAGCGGTAACGAGAATGCTGGCTTACCTCCTGAATCGGGATCGAGAGTGTACGCTCGGGCGACTTGAGCAACGGTCATCAGCGAAGCGGCCCAGCGGCCGGCAGCGCCAGCTCTCCACCAACCCCGCATTTTCCGGCGCAGTGTCTTGGTTACGGCATGGAATAAATGCCTCGACAAAGAATAGCCGAAACCTGACTGAGAGCTGCAATGCAGGTGCAGATTAACCCACGAGGAAGAAGTGAGAATACTTTAGAAGGAACCAAAGCAAAAGAAAGCTGTTCCGAAGATCCGGCAGCGAGGTGAGGCAGGCTAATATTGATATTTTGTCCGCGTATTGTCCAATTGTTCCAAGGTTTTTTGGACAGTGTCCAGCCTCTCCTCCAAGCTCCCGTAGGACGCAGTCAAATGAAGGGGCCGGCGCCGGATTCAGCAAGGTTGAACAATAGCAACACAAAGCGAGAGCAACAACAAAGGCGTCATGCGCATGCAAAATCTTCCAAAAACTTTGGACAATGAAAACGCGAGGGCGAGTAACGGCAGATGCTTGAGAAGACATAGGCCATCAACAGAGAGTAGGAAAGGCTATTATTGACGAGCAAGCTCGTACTCGCTGGGATCGCACCCTCTCCACTCGTCAATATGGCATACAGGAAACTAACTTTTGGGATGCTTGTGGGGTGACGTGCGCCTTCGCTCCATCCCTGACGGGCTTGATGGAAAGCTTGCAGCGGCCTTAGTAGTCTAGACAGCCGACCGACCAGGCGGGAGTGCGTGATGCTGGCAAGCATCGATTGGTGAGGAGCGGCACTGGTCTGACGTCTCTCGGCCCTGCTTGCCAACCTCTACTCGAGTACAGCACCCATCTCGGGCTAGTCGATCCGTTTCCTGAAACGCGAAACAGCCATCGGGTTCCTGGTTCCTACCCAGCCATATCCATTTATTTGCGCTCTTTAACCCAGCATCCTGGGAATTAAATGAGTGCAAAGCCGGGAAACAGCACGCCCAAAGCAAGAAGGCAGGCGGCCTGCACAGAGGTGCCCTCCGACGATCCCTGAGCCGAAGGTTCGAAGGGGGGCCACACTGGATCCTCGCTTGCTTAGTCTCTGCTCGTGTTCAGCGGATTGATGACACTGATGACTGAGCAACGGGCGGAGAAGTCCCGCAGGCAGTCCCGAAAGACCCCATTGCATAAGGTTAACAGAAGTAAGAATGTTCTCCGCTCCTCCCACCGTTGCGCCCAACTGTCGCTGTAGGCAGGAAGAATACGAGATGTATTCGTACGCTATGGATCAATGACAACAATCAGTGAAGGTGCGTACGACTAGGAAGTAGCAGAAGCGAACTTGTCATATCGATGTAGCTTGTCGATGCCTACCTAGGTAGTACATGACTACGCAGTAAGTACCTAGGCAGGTCGTGAGGCTCTGAGAACGTGGGCAGTTGATTGAGACAATACAAACGACCGAAATAGAGCAAAGGGTTTGTTGATTCTCGAGTGTACTGGTATGTGATAAAAAGGCAATTGCGATTTGATGGTGGAAGTACCGGTGCTCGAACTACATGCTGGCAGCCAGCCCATTCAACAAGTGATTTGCACGAACCAGGATCAGGATACGACTAAAAGCTGCCCCTGGCATGGAATATCTGGAAGCCTCGAGCTCTGTATTCATATTAACGTTACTAGCAGAAAGAACGCCCCGCCCCACCACAAAGGTAAAGGTAGGTAGGAGGTAGGTATATGACGGGTGTTCCTGCCGTGTTGAACTGGCACTACTGTATGTACAAGCTTCGATCAAGGGATGCAGTGACACCTCTTCTGTCAATGTCAATGGAGCAAAGTGCAACGAAGAGCGTCAACAGAGCTGCTGCTAATCCATATCCATCATCTATGACTGCCTTGGCTTACTTCAATGGTAGGGCACCAAATGGAAATGGAAATGGAAATGTAAATGTAAAAGTGAGCATCCACAGCTGAGGATTGTGCCTTCCTCGCCAATCTAAGTTTCTACCGTCAGCTGCCGGCGGCCGTCCATCCCGTCACACACCACTGTAAATGACATAAGCGGTTTCTTGTCCTGGTGAGACATGAGGCGACTCTCAGCTGTAAACAATAAGACATTAGCAATTCACTTCAAAGACATCAAATTGAGACTTCATCTCATTCTTATTGAACACTTCCGCGACTATATCTCTTAGGATACAATATAGACGCTTCAGAAACGGCTTCCTAAGTGATAGACACTAAAGAACGGGCTGCAACGCTGAACGGGAGCTGACTTAGCAGCCTGATTAGTGCTGCTTTGTCCTGTGCCTCGCCGCGCAGCCGAAATCTGGGGAACATCTCAAGAGTCTACCTAGAGGGAATCTGGACTCCACTCCACCTAACATCTACCTTACTGTGCAGCAGCGCTGTGAGAGAGAGAGCCCAGCGGCGCCTCAATCATTCGTAGTTGGTCGGTTTCTAGGCGAGCAGACGCTAACAGGCGGCTGGAACGGCCCAGAATTGATCGATGAACAACTGTGGGCGAACTAAACTTAGCGCCAAAAGAACCATCGGCCAGCAGCCACTTCCCGCTGGCTGCCTTTTCTCGCCTGCCCGCGCTGCCGCTGATCTGATCTGATTCAATTCACTTGACGCCTGCCAGCCGCTTACACTCCCACTCCTTCAACAGCAGCAGTGCTTTTCTAGAACACAACACCACACAAACTGTACCCATATTGGACATTGGCTGCGCTTGCTTTTTGGGGTTCTGTAGAACAACGACCTACGCTCATGGCTGCAGCCAACGCAGCCGGGGTCATCGACCCCACGAAGACCGGCAAATACCCCGTCATCCTCAGCGACGCCCTCCTCGGCAAGCCGGCCAAGGAGATCTACACCGGCGTGCGATGTAAGCCTGGCAGCCCCCCTTCCCCCAGCCCTACCACCACGAAGCCTCGTGGCCTCGCTCGTCATCGCTAACATCTCACCTCTCTGGACGCAGACAACCACAAGCCCGCCCTCTCGTCAGACACAGCTCCCGCCAATGCCAGGCTAAAACCGTCCCCGAGCAATGGCGCCTACGACCTCTCCTTCACCGACGACGGCGGGCGGTACGCATACAGCGGCAGCCGGTCCTCGACGCCCGACAGCAGCAATGGCAGCAGCCCCTTCGTCCTCATCTTCGACCCGTCCCGCCAGGCCTTTGTGCTACACCGCGTAGACTCGGTCTTCAACATGAACCTCACAAGAACGCCAAACAACACAGACCCAGAGGCGCTCCGCGAGGAGTTCCCCCACCTGAATAGCACAATAAAAGTACAGGTCGGCAGCAATGCCAGCAAGAGCAACTCAAGCAATGCCGCGAGCAGCTCGAGCGCGGTCAAGAGCAAGCCGGCGGGAGAGAAGTCCGGCATGAAGGCGCTCGCGAAGCTCAAGGAGCACCAGAACAAGACAAAGAAGGCGACCGAGAAGGAGAGGAAAGAGCCGCCCGCACCGATCAGCGTGCCTGAACCACTGGCCAAGGTTGAGAAGGTGAAGCGGAGGGACCGCTCACCGGTGGAGAGCGAAGAGGAGGACGATGATGACGACGGCGGGCTGCTGATCGAGTTCCCGGAGGGCGATGCGCCGACATCGAGATTCAACCAGACTACCGACTTCTCTCCGGCGTTCCCAGTAAGACGCTTTTCGGAATTCGTGAGAGAAGGCGAAGATGATCAGGACGACGATGCCGACGGCGAGGAGGAGTTCGACATACCAGATATTCCCGAGGACGACGAAGAGGAGGAGGACGAGCCCATGGGGACGTTCAAGCTACCCAGTCCGGTGGGCCAGCAAAACCAGCAAGAGGATCCGGCCGATGACGATGAGGACATAGAAGACCTAGAGGCTGCGCTGGAGAAGGAGTTTGCAATGGACTCGGAGAGCTCCGTTAGCGAAGAGGACTGAACATCCCGCAGTGGAATGTATGAACATTTACGTTTTGATTTTCAGCAGCATATTGTTAGAGGAGTTTTGGAGACGGTCTTGAAAAACCCCCATGGGGTGAAGGCTTCTTTGGTTCAGTCATATTTTCAAACTGTATTCAGGATATATTCTTGACGGCTTGTGTATCTCATTTGCAAAGTTATTGCAGTCTACGGACTTCACTAGACGATATCATGAAGAATAAACTCATCTACAACATCGCGTGTTTAAGTGTTCATGACATCTTCGGCCCACTCGTCCCTTTCTGATACCTAACCCCGCTCTCCTTGCCAACATCATCCGTGACTCCGGGAATCTCATTCTCGCAGTAGCAATGCGGCCCTCCACCGCCGACCAGCGCCTTACTGAACTTACCTCCCTCGCCAAACAGGAACTCCGGGTCGATCGTCCCGGCCATAATGCCAATCTCGTCCTCCGCTGCCCGCCGCCAGTACAGCGTGCTGCCGCACTCACCGCAGAAGCCCCGGTGGATCCCCGGGGTGGCGGAGAAGATCTTCAGCGCCGACGGTGGAGCCGCGGCCGGCCCCTCCCCGGTCGTGTACCGGAAGCAGGACAGGGGCGCCGCGTGCTCTATCGAGACGAGGGCGCCGGTCTGTCGGCGGCATTGGGTGCATTGACAGGAGCCGGACTGTGGGGGTGTAAGCAAGGCTTTGTTGAGGGGAGTATGCTCTGAAGGTCACGAGTCTCGTACGCTCTTCTCAAAGTCGTGGTCTTTGGGGAAGTCGACTCTGTAGCGGATCGAGCCGCATAGGCAGCCACCGGTTATGAACTCGGGCTTCGCGACAATGTTGAAGTCTGCAGCAGTGGGCATTGTCAAGTAAGGGCAATGTTTGTCCAGTCACTAGAGTACACCATGTCGCTTAAGTAAAACTATGCATCCCGTTGTGCGCGGCTAAGTGAAAGGCACGTATGACTGGCCAAATGACTAGCTGAAGCTCTATAGCTGAAGCTCTTAGGGTGAGCTATAATTGCAGCGAAGACTAAGGTTCAGTATCTGACCATTAGTCCAAGGTCTTAAAAAATGAACCTCCTTCCAGATTGCCTCAATATCCACCGCACATACCATTGGCAGAAAAGACATCTGAGAGATGAAGATGATGCTCTGAATGCCGGTGCTGTAAATACCTCTTAGAGAGGGGCTGTAAAATCGACTCTGATCTCTATCTCCAGAATCTCTTCGAACCGAACAAGTCAAGGAGCACCTCATCGAGAGGCCGACTTCTTATCAAGAAACCTTCAATGATGCTCTTTGAAATATCGACAATATTCAATGACCCATGACACATCCGCTTGACTTCACAATTTTGTTCAGGCCGATACAGTCATAGCAGCTAAAGCAATCATATTCCGGGATGATTGAGGGCCATCATCGGATTCTGTAGTCAACATGATCGTAATAAGGCTTCAAGCTGTACATTTGCTACCAAGAAAGATCTTGACGGGAGTTTCGCAAAGTCCCGTTTACCACAGGAGCATAGTTTCGAGACCGAGACTCTTCGTTAGGGACAACAAGTGCAGTGAAATTTTGGGAAAGTTGAGAGTGAGGCGTACCGGAACGCCACAACACATGCTAGGCTCAAGTTTCCCTAGGAATATTTCGACGGTCCAATGGACGTAGTTCGCGAACCCAAACGTCTCTTGAGGGACTAAAATCGCAGTGAATGATTCACGTTACAGTATGTCTCTTGGGTGCGTGATGATGACCGAAATACTAGGTGGCAAGCCTTTGAATACTTGATTGCGATAGGACGTCAATCATGACTGCTTGCTTTTTTAACGACAGCGAAGAGATGCCGTTTCTTCCCAAGTTGGGTTTCTGAAAGCATGTTATCGTGAACTGATTTTCGAGGTGGCTCCTCTTGAGGTATCAAATTGTATAGAACTTGTGACTGAGGTGACACTTCACTTCTCAACATAGCTTTAACCAATAAAAGACTCGGTTTTGAAAGATTGTCTATGATTACTTCATGAGTAAGTAACAGCGACGAGCCTGTAAAACGATGTCAAGCACGCTATGTGATACAGCATTCGTCGCTAGAGCACAGCGACCCTTGTGCCTTGACTTTCGACCGCCGCCAAGGATTGCATGGGCAATACTTGGGTCTGCGCTCATGGGAACGACTAAAATTGCAGTGAAATCTTAGTGGCACTCGGACTCCTCCGGAGTCCATAGAAGATCATTCTATACACAGCCACCCGACACATCCACCTAGATCAGTAACAACGCATGTCCTTATGGATCGCCAGAACTCCTAGCATGTCACATCACAAGCAAGGAAAGGAATCTTGTAGATCTCAGCATTAATTATATATGTACGTATCGCTCAAGTCATGACAACGGACCAAATGATGATATCGTTCATCGTCGCGGAGAGGTAGGTGCCCAACCCGGATCCTGGTATCTCAATCCAAAATACAACTCCTTGTAAATCCATTGATGTTCCAAGCCAAAATTTTGCACGCTCGCTCGCATGTTGGGTGTCTTTCCCTTCCACTGTCCTCCTTGCCAGTGTGGCAGTCTCCCAGCTTTCGTAATATGATACGCGGGTTGTGTTATAGTAGGTAGTAGTTGTGATAATAATGTACAGCTCCATCTCCTCGCCAAATCTTTTCATAGAGCGTAGTTCTCCGTATGCAAGAAGATCTCCTCGAGCATCTCATCGCCCCAGATCTCCGCCTGCAGGCGCGCCACCGTGTTCGCGACGCCGACACGCATGCTGGGCGGGCCGCACACGAAGACGGCCGTCCGCCGCCCCAGGATGCCGCGTCCGTCCGAGCCGCCCGTCGCCCACTCCTTGAGCATGTAGCCCAGGTCCGGGCGCCCGTACTCGACGCTCCACCCGCCGTCGATCTGGTGCGGCACCGGGAAGGCGAACCGCATCAGCGTCTTCTGGAACTCGGTCGGCGTCTCGGGGAACCCGAACTCGAACCCGCTCGGCGGGCCGAAGGTGCTCGTTGGTCGGGGTTGCTGTGCTGCGCCGCCCACATCGGTGCGTAGGTGTGCGAGCTCGGGGACGTCGGGCGGGCGGAGGTCGGTGGACGGCGCTTTGCTGTCGTTGCCTTGGCCGGTTGGCGGCGTCAGGTGCTGGCTGAAGCGGTTCTTATTGGGTGAGTTTGGCGCATAGTTGAAGTGTGGTGCAAGGGAAGTACGTGGCTGGAGTGGTGGGAAGTGGAATTCCCGCTTCTTATCCGGCGGGAACTCCAATGCGTCTTTGGAATCAGCGTTCTGGTCTCGACCTTCCAGCCTGCGTAGAGAGTCCTCTGTATGTGATTGCCTGTCCTTAGGTGGGTTAGGTGGCGGTGGAGGGATGTTGTGTGGCTGTAGATATTTCTGTTGCGGAAGAGCTGTGATCCTATCCTGATCCTCCTCACGCAACTCTCGCTCTCGCTCAGGATCGCCCTGCGCAACGTCCGTGATCAACGCCGAGTTGCGTTTCGAGGCAATGTTAGCCACGAAGCCGTCTAGCTTGTCGTGGAACATGTTGGATAGCGGACGCGGAGCACGCTGGCCAAGAGCCCCAGCACCAGCGATGTGCGACTGGCGGACTGCGGCAGTCACGAAGAACTTGCATGTCACACTCTCCGGCGGTGCAGACTCGCGGCAGATACGGAGCTCCTCGCGGAACCAATCCATCGCTTCGAGGCGCTTCAGGGCCCAGACGACCACAATCTTCTTAGTGATCGCCTTGCCATCTCGCATACGCTTGATTAAATTCAAGAGCTGCGACATCAGAGATGTGATGCCGCTGCCACCTGCAATCAGGATGCAGGTGTCGAAGGCTGCAAGGTCGCGGCGCATACCGCCGTATGGGCCGTCCAGAAATGCTCGATAAGTGTGGAAAGGTCCCTTTTCGATAGCTGTCTCGAGTACCTTTCTAGTAAAGCCCCCATACGGTCTGAACACGAGAACGCAGTCTCTGTACTGCTCGCCATACTCGGACGGGAAGTCTTCGCTGCAAAGGGACGAGATAGTGAAAGGGTGGTTCTCGAAGAGTGAGATGCCAGGCATACGCAGATAGACATATTGCCCTGGGCTCCACCGCATCTGTGTCGGGATGGTGACCTTTATACAATTCTCGGTCATGATGTTGATCGCGGCCTCATCTCCCACCATGAAAGCCATTCGCCCCGGTTTCGCCCAATTCAGTTTGAACAATCGTACGATGTAGCAAAATACCACAATCGCAATGGTAGCGTAGAGATAGCTCCATGACATGAGGTAGTTCTTCGTATGCCAGAAGAGAAGCCCAACGTAGACATACCCCACTGGCACGTGCAGCATCACAAAGACTTCGTACGCCATCCGACGTACAATAGGCAGCGAGGCAACGCAGAGCCAGCAGAGAGGAACAAGGCAGGCAATTCCTGTGCCGTAAATGACACCACTGCCTTGAGGGAAGAGATTCTGGAAAATCTGCATCCCGCCATCATCCCATACCGGCTGAACGTAGAATGGGATTGTGTGGACCAAAGCAAGAAATAGGCAAAGGTAGCCTGCCCACCGATGGAAGACGTTGAGTCGCTCCGGACCTACACCAGTGATCATGGTGAGAATGTTCGCTTTCGTGCTCAGAGCAATGATCCAAGGCGTCATAGCCACCGCGATCATGCCCGACCTAATAGCCACTGGTGGAGATCCATACTGGATGCTCTGCCAGTACAACGGCTGCTGGAGGAAGCAGTATAGAGCAACAAATGCTAGCGTAACGAAGACAGTGGTTAGCACCGCCAGCGAAGAGAAGGTGAATCTGTGTTTTCGCCATCTGATATCGGGAATCGGACGGTAGAATATCCATCGGAAGAGTGCCAATGTATCATTAACAAAGCCTATTGAAGAGCCGTGTGCCTTTGGTCGAAACGCCGTCTCCGCCTTCTCCTCTTCCGGGAAGAAGTGTCGGTTCGATGTCTGACCCGTCTGCATCGCCGTCTGCGCCCATTCAGGCTCCAGGCTGTAGAGATTGTTGTAGTGCTCCTCCACCTCTTGCTTGTAGATCGCTTGCCGGATTTTGTCCTGCCAGAAATGCCATATCCGCATGAAGACCACCACTCCCATCAATGCCAGTGCAAAGTAGGTGAATCCACGACCATACTTTCCCGATTTCGACCACGGATCCACAGTAGCTGCCTGTACCAAGCCTGGTGGACTTGTGGGTGTAAGTGTGATAGCTATACGCTTGACTAGCTCGACGGGGCTGCCGGGCGAGTCTTTTGCCAATCCTATGGCCGCGGTTCGTGCTTGAGTAGCCATTGCGCCTTGCTTGATACAACAGTCCAGCTGTCCAATCCTTTGTGGTCGTTGAAGCGACTATGCGCAGTGAGCCGACGTGAAAGTCGACATCAATATCTTCCGCTGGAGTAGTCCGTTAGGCCGCCGTGCTACCCACGCAGTTTCGCCGTGCTAGAGAGTCTATATGATTCGAAATGCCGATATGAGGTAGTGCCACTTCCTTACGTGACGTATGTGTACGAGAATGAGAGGCACCTTGAGAAAGGAACAGGAAGGCGACGCCGAGACGGAGGAATGCCAGACTCCTCTGATTAGTTAAAGCAATAGAGAACGAATAGTAAGGAAACGGTCGTCAAAATGTCAGGAGCAATAACTAGAGAGGAAGAAGTCGAGAGCTCAGGGTGGGGGCTGCCGGTTTGTATATATGGGATGTACTAGAGGATTGACCCCCTGCTCTCAATTGATGTGATTGCTTCTTGCTTCTTCTCTGTTGTCAGAGGCTGAAGGATCTAGAGAAGATGCGCCGGTTGGATGCGACTCTCTCACGGTCGTAGGCGCCAGCCGCCGTTCTTCTCTTTAACAATAGTGTTGAAGTGCAGGTTGAGGGATGCGAGATTGCTCTCGAGGTCAGCAACGAGGTTTTGCGACCTCACAGACGGCCAGTCAATCAACGAGCAGCAATGCTTAGCTCGATGGAAGCTCGGGGGGGTGGGGGATGTGAAGGGAACCAAGACCCAGCGGCTGACCGCACTTTAATATTGGCTGGTCGATGTTCTGGTCTTCCCCGCTGCTGCATGTGTCACACAGGGCATATGAGCAACACGAGCAGGCGCCTATGGACCGGTTTCTGCAGTGCGTGCAGCACTCGCAGTGGGTGCCCAGTGAGAGGGAGGTATATCGGTGTGCAGGAAAGGCGAGCCGGCAGACGTTATCACCTGCAGCTAGATGCAGGAGGCGTTGGCAAGAAACGTGCTGTTATCGCTGCAGAAGAAAAGCCCCGAATCACACGGGAACCACAGTGGACAACAGATGGAGGGACTGCTATGATTGCAAAGAGAAGAGCAACTGGCAAGGTAAAAGGATGACAAAATACAGACAAGTTGAGAGTACAGGGGAGGATATACACCTTCAGTTGGTACGCTGAGAGGCAAAGACACAAGAAGACTTGCTTGTGTGGAGCGGGTCGCGAAGGATTTGATACTGTACAGAATAGAGACCTGAGCTGACGGACGGCTTGCCGAAGAAGCCTGTGCGCTTGCGTTGTCTGTTGGACGGTCGAGCGAGTGGCCTCAGCCGTGATATGACGGGCAATTTGTGATTGTCCACTTTGTCCACTGAGAGGCATGGGACAATGGGGCCAATGGCCAGAATCCTGGCGTTCTGGCAGAAGTGCATGCTGCAAAGTACAGGGCCATGGCTGGGGGACCTGGCAGCAATCCATCGTTCATGACCTCTTCTTCCAGCCATGATTCGCAGGCCGGGCCACTTGGTGATCGCCTCTGGGAGGGAGAGCTGCAACCCCACCTTTCGGAAGCCGGATCCTTGCAAGATTGTTTGCCCAACGCTCGAAAAGAGACGAGAAAGACCATCACACGCGCCTAGCCCACTCACTGAGTAGGGGCGTGGATGGGCTAGAGTCGGGGGGACCCTCAAGAGGGCGGTCGAATAGCGTTGGCGAGATGCAGTGCTCGCACTGGTCACGGTGATGAGGTGGTTTGTGGAAAGGTCCGGCGATTGAGCAATTGGCTTGAGCCGTTGTGGGATGGGTGGCTTTGGGTGGTCTCGGAATGCAGGACGGGCGGTAACACGAGCCATCTGATTCGCCATACCCCTGTATCCCTCCTCCTACTCCTCCTAGGGTGCGCATGGCCTTGCATACAGTAGGCCTTTTTCCCTCTCTAATGCGCTGTCTCCCAAAGGTGGCTGGACTGTATTTGATAATCTGCTGAACCAAAGGAGCATTGAAAAGGGACACACGTTACCTCAGGCACCATGGCTCGTGCGTGGGTCTTAAGATACTGTGGTCATGGCATGATGGTGCTCTCGATGCTTAGAGATGAGGTGAGGTCCGGAAAGCGGCAATAATGGGCTAGAATAAGACTCGATCTACAAGTAGGACATCCGTTTCTGGGTTGCGTGTAAAAGCTTGTGTGTGCGCGCGCGTATTGCGGAGACAGAAAGCATCTCTCGGCAGACACCAGCTCGTGCGCGGCACAATCACATCAAAGACCCTGCTGGATCTTTCGCACTCAGCAGCGCGACCCCGGTATCCCGGACCAGCCGCTGCTTCAAAGTGCCCAGGAAGAGAGTTGATATTGGACTGGTGAACTTGGCGCATAAGTATTCTATCTCGGCTAGAGTGCCTGAAAGATGTGAATGTGATGGTGACAGCGACAGACTATTGTCTCTGTTTCTTGGAATTCTTTCTCGGCGGCGCGTAGGCGGGGCCCCTGGTTCCGGAACGGCTCGTCTAACGAACTGCAGAACAGATGAATGGAAATAGGCCTCGCTTGCTGTTGAATACTCAAGACGGCGAATATTGGATCTGCCAAGATATTGCTCAGGGATAATTACTGTACCATCGTCCACCGCCGGCTTCCAAATACAGGCGTCTTGCGGCATTAGCGGTCTAATTCGGTAGCATCCACACCGTTTTTAGACCACTTAAGGGTCTGATGCTGCATTTCTTAGCGCACACATCGGGAGGGACTGATCGTGAATTTGTAGCCATAGTAGATCGAAGGTTGCAGAGACTACGGGCCTAGTACCTGGCACCATCGTTGCAGGTGCAGACGATCTCCAATCCTTCATATATCGAAGAGTGCCAAGGACTCGACATCAGCACTGAGCCGGCGTCCTTGAACCATCTCTGCGAGAACCATCCCAGTGCCGAGCGATAAGCTGATACCCCAAGGCCCGTGACCTGCTGCACAGTAGACGCCTCCATCGGCCCCCGGTCGTGTGCTCACGCCTACGCCCAGGTGGCTGTCGTCAATTCTCGTGATGATTGGTGTGCCGCTCTCTGTGACGGGGCGGAAACACAGACCTTCCCTTTCAACCTCCAAGTCGTCTTCGTCTGCGTCAGCACCCAACAACTTCTTGGCAAACTCCCTTAATTCTACGATTGACTCTGGCACTATCTGCCGATCTAAAGGCAATTTGGGTAGAGGCATCTCTGGTGAATTGAGCCCAGCAAGATAGATGGTGCCGTCCATCCTAGAGAATATCTCCGGCGAAAAACCTGGGCGGCTGGTCGTAAAGATGGCATGGCAGCCTCGCTCTTCCACCTCCTTCGACCACCGCGGAGACTTAAGCACTAGGGAGTGCCCGGCAATACTTGAGACAGGAAGTTTAAGCTCCGAGTGAGGGAACAACGTCTCAAACACTTGCCCCGACCATGCACCAGCTGTGATGATGACCCTTGTGCAAGGGATATCTGTCTCGGTAGATGAATCCAACTCCGCTATCCTGACACTCGAGAGCTCATTACGGACATCAACCATGGTCGAAAGTGCTGCTGCAGGGTGGTGTAAGTGAACCCCTCTATCAAGACACTCCTGAAGCAGAAAACGACAGAGCATTAAGGGGTCACTGTCACACGTTAGGACCAATGGGCAGCAGGCTGTACATGCCGTTTCTTCACTTACACCTGAGCTGTACCTCCATCTTCACTGATGAGCTCAACCTCGTCACCTTGGTGTCTTCGTAACCAAGCAGGGGCGGGTCCGGAGCTGTCGTCAACAGAAGCAACTGCATCAGCCCTGCTGCCCCCGCGACGCAGCCAATCGTCACCTTTTCTCGTGCTACGACGAGAAGTAGAACTTTTATAACTCAAAGACGTGCTTTTTGAATATCCCCACTTCCCGGCACCTCCGTGGGTCTCAGCGAGTTGGCGATGCTGCGCGAAGCTCAAGGCCCCGAGCGCCGCCACCGAGGGCCCAAACCAGTCCCTGGCCAGGAAACCGCCTGCATATCCCGACGCCGACGCGAAGAGCTCCTTGGACGGCTCGACAAGGTGAACTGTCGACGGAGGCTGGTGTTCGGAGAGGTAATAGGCTGTAGACAAGCCTATGATCCCGGCGCCCAGAATGACGGTCGTTGACATGCTCCGATAAACGAAAGATATCTAGCTGCCGGTAGTCTTCAGTATCAAAATGTGTAAAAGTTCACAAGATGTCAGGTCGTGCTGAGCTCATCGTCTCCCTAAATATGGGTGCTTATCAAGGTCGTATCATGAAAATATGACGTGCGTCGGTCTAGATGCACTCAGATGCCCCACATTGGGCATGTGCGGTTGTGCCCGCCCCACTCGCTCATCTGGCAGAATTTGGCTGGTGGATCGACCGTAGACACAGATTTTCCCCAGTCTGTGTGTGTGTGTGCGTGCGATACGAGACTTGCCGAAGGAACTTTAAGCTTTGTCGTCTCACTGTTGGTTTTTGATTCGCTCGGAACGTCTCCTAGCCTTGTCAAAGATGGCTTCCAAGGTGTTCATCGTAACGGGAGCAGGGCGGGGAATCGGCCTTGCCGTCTCGCAATACCTACTTCGTGCCTCACACAAGGTCGTGCTCGTATCACGGACGCAAAGTGAGCTTGAGGCCTTGAAAGCGCAGTACCCCTCGCAGGTCGAGTACCTTGCCGCAGACCTGACAGATTTTGAGGTTTGTATGCAAAGAGAAATGTTAAGGGCAGGACTAAAAGCTTCACAGAACGCCCCCAAAGTAACGGATCTCGCACTGAAATCATTTGGACAGCTTGATGGCATTGTCATTAATCATGGCGTACTAAGCCCTATGAAACGTGTTGCAGACTCGACAGCAGAGGAGTGGAGGAAGTTGTTTGACGCCAACTTCTTCAGTGCAATCGCATTGGTATAGTACCTTCCAGCTTGGAAGACGTTTGAATACTTACTAGGTCATAGGTCAAGGAAGCAATTCCATTGCTACGGGAGACAAACGGACGGATTGTCTTCACCTCATCTGGAGCCGCCCAGCATCCGTATGTCTCCTGGGGACCCTACGGCTCTTCAAAGGCCGCGATGAACTCGCTTGCACAACATATTGCCGTAGAGGAACCAAGCATAACAACGGTAACCGTAAACCCTGGTCGCACCGACACAGCAATGCAGAAAGAAATCCGCGATCAAGGAAAAGGCGTCATGGCCGAGGCTGAGCGGGGAACCTTCGTCACATCATTCGAGCAAGGGAAGCTCAACAAGCCAGAGGGCCCCGGCCATGTCATGGCAAAGCTGGTGATAGATGCCTCGCAGGATCTGAGCGGGAAATTCCTCAGGTATGTCGAATTACTGCAGTCCGTCAAGACCACACTAACAATCTTGAAGCTGGACCGCGCCGGAGCTAGCTGCGTTTCGAGAGTGAGCGTGGTGAGGTACCTACTGAGAGGAGTATTAGCAATTGTGCAATGTCAAAGACTGTTGAACAGATAAGACAATGGAAATGGCCTCATTCGAAAGATGAAAAGCATTTATATTTTATCCACATGTGTAATTCAGTATTAGCATGGAATATAATTTTATAATCATCGGCCAGCATGTCGCAACGAAAAAGAAACAATCCAGTACCAACCTCTACCTAGCAATGCCTCGCTTGCGCATTTACTCGCGTCACACCGCATGCCTATGGTGATCAGCGGTCAGCATCGTGTTGTAGCTGATGACAGCAGCGTCTCGACAGCCAATGGTCGCTCAGGAATATGGAAATGGTTCGTCATAAATGATCGGTATTTGATAGTACGTAATATTCGAGCATCATTGCGAGGAGTATCGGGTTGGGTCGCGAGGGACTCGATGATGTGCTGACGGACATACCTGGCATTCCAGTTAGTTCGCGTTCCCAGTAAATCCGTGATCCAGCTAGGAGCTCATAATGTAGGAAAGATATCAGAGATGTCCGTTTGGAAAGACGTGTCAATCACCATGGGTAAGTATGCCTGGGGCGACAATGAAAACTCATCTTGTGAGAGTAGAATGATAGAGCAAGATCAAGCAAAATAGATAGACCATACCTTTGATCATTGTAAGAATCATAGAGATGCTACAGGTAGTCTCAGGGCGTGGAAGCTTCCATGCTGGCTTCGATGCGGGCTCCTAGGTAGCTCTGCATTTTGTCTGCGATATGTTGAAGGACGAGAAAAAATGCTGGTGGAATTTTTTGGGCAACTTTTGTATGGGGCGCAAGCTCCTCACTAGCCACACTCAGGTACTGCTGATAAGGTTGAGAAATTGCCAGCAGCAGCTAGCCAGGTAGCTAGCGGTGGCTAGGCTGCCAGCCACAATTTGCGACAGCCTGGCGCCGCCTTTCCACGACGAACAGCGTTTCGTTTTCAGTATTAAAGAGCCGCTCGACGCCCCCGAACAAAGGCTCCCGTTGGCTCAGCTCAATGCTGCATTTGCAAATAGACTCACATTGAACTACGAGTGTGCAACCTCGACACACGACGCCACGAAGCAGCGATCCGTCGTACTTATCCAGGGTGAAGAAACAGCATATTCCAGTTCAAATTTACCCCACCAAACAGTAGACTTGATACACACGCATCATCATGTCTGATCACGAATTCGGCGGTAAGTGCATTTCAAGTCATTTATGTCGTGTTATTCATGGATTTTGTCACGATGCTGTGCCCAGTCATACATATGACTGTGGTAGAAGTTTTGCAAAAGCCAAACGGCGAAGTTGCAGTGTACCTGCATTCTCGTGAGTCGTGAGGACTATCACTTAATGGAGCCAATTTGGACCTCTTTCCCTTAAAGACAGAGTGCTACAAATCGGCCGTTTCTAGGACTCACATCTCGTCAATACGCGCTTGTCTATTGATTTCCTTTCCCTCGACTCTTCGGTATATCACGACGAGACTTTTTGATCACCGTACAGTTACGGATCATAGACACAGCAGTCATGGCGTACCACTCGGCTCATCTCTCCAACCAGGATCGTTATTGGGCCACCATGGATAGCCTTCTTCGTACTGAGAGCAGATATCACGTTTTGAGAATAAAGACTAATCGGCTTTACTAGGCAATGACGATCTGTCTCTACCAAAAGGTGTGTAGTCCGTCCCAGCTGCTTTGAGCCCGCCTTGCGCCATCCTGTTTCCCACCATCCAGTATACTGACAGCAGTTGCAGCAACTGTCCAGAAGATCGTAACCGAGATTCTACCCCCGGCTAGTGGTGTTGCCTTCGCCAAAGAAGCCCGCGATCTCCTCATCGAGTGCTGTGTGGAGTTCATCACGTTAGTGTCTTCCGAGGCAAACGAGATCTCGGAGAAGGAGGCCAAGAAGACGATTGCCTGTGATCACATCACGAAAGCTCTGGAACAGCTGGGCTTTGCAGACTACGTGCCGGCTGTTCTTGACGCGGCTGCGGAGCACAAGGAAGTTCAGAAGGTGCGTCGGCGCCGGCGTGGTGTCTTATGTCGGACCTTGACGACTAATGTTTCTGCAGGGCCGAGAGAAGAAAGCAAACAAGTTCCAGGAAAGCGGCCTATCACTCGAGGAGTTGGAGCGATTGCAGCAGGAGCAGTTTGCCCAGGCAGCTGCAAGACATACGTGACCTAGCGTCGGGAAATTGCATCTTGACGAGATGGTTTGCATTTGTTTGGCGTTGGGAATGGTTCATTGGGAGGCTCGAGTCAGTACGCGGGCACTTGCGATTAGATATAGTGACATTGATGGGAACGAGACTTGTCGTGGCTGAAGCGATCGCGTGGTGCTGCCGCCGACTGGATCAAGGAATCGCTCGGATCAGATGCGAATAACGGCCGCAGCCTCACAACCGGATCAGGCATTAGAGGAATTGACTCAATATCCTTAGACTACCCTATTATTACAAGAAATTCAGTGTTGAAGAAGCTCTGAACATGAAACAAAGTCTTGCGTGTCGGGGGACCATTCTCGAAAAGATCACGCCGAAGCGTACACCCTCTCGCCGCGTTCCAATGTACTCCACCATAGTCACGAACATCGTGGTTCACCACAAAGCCAAGCTCTCCTGCCGACTCGTTGATCGTGGCCATATTCCATTTACGGTTCCTCGTACATGAGGTGAGACTCGTTGTCCACGTCCCACCAACCTCTAGCTCCACGCTCGTACAATCGGGCCCGCTCGGTCCACGATTTCTCCATCTCCTCTTGCGGTTGATCCTCGGTCTGAGCTTGGTCAGGCCGTACTGCCGGATAGTACCTGAGAGTCGAATCGATGAGGCGGAGGCCACGGATGCGGAACATATCCCACATGAGATATCCCCATCGGCGTTTATCATGATCGTTGGCGTTATATATTGGGAGCTTTGGGTATGGGCCGTACATCTGAGACCAGGCCATTGCGTTCAGGGGTCCATTGTCGGTCTCCTTGAAGAAGTCCGGGATTTTATAGTGATTAGGTTGCTGTGCGTGCTGCGAAACTGTTCTCAGATCTAGGGCCTTCTGGATGAAGTACCGGTGTTCTTGTGGCGGCTCTGGCACGGTGAGTGCTCTCTCCTTGTGGGATTTTGCCTCGACAAACTGCACAATCCTCTCAAGACCCAAGCTAAGAATCATCTGGACTCTCTTGTTCCGGACTTCCAAACCCCATGGAACACAGGCTTGGCCCCACTCGACATCATGGCTTGCCATGTCTTTGAAATCTATGGTATATTAGCCATCAAAAGATCTTTGGTTCGTCTTGATGTTTCCTCTAAAGCGACATTGACTTACATGGCAAGACATAGCGCTCGAGGAAGTCGTGGATACAAGCTAGCTGAACATTCTCGTAAGGAGAAAACTGATCCATAAATGCCTCGCCGACTTCTTCCACATATTCTGTCAGAGCATCCGAGGGGCTCTCCATGTCAGATAATGGCTGAAGCAGGCGGCGGAAAATCTCGAAAGAGTAGAATGCTCGATAGATTCGATCTCGTTCAGACAAAGTCAGTCCTTGGGATTGAATGAGAAGGGCATGAAGATCCGAGTTTGCATAAGCGCAAAAGTCCACGAATGCCTGTGTGAGAGTCTTCACGGCTTTGGCGACCTTGATCATTGAGATGATCTCACCATTCGTGTACCCCAAACGTATCTCTCCTCTGATCAAGTACTTGTCAATGAATTCTTTGACAGCGTCGAAATTCAACAATGGGACAAGTGGACATTCATGTGCAAACAACGCATGATCTTGGACACCCATGGGGACCATCGCGTTGAAGAAGTTCACTAGAATTTGGCCCTCCTGGCACTTGAACGCTGCGTATAGTTGACGACATACTAGAATCGCAGTATGGAAAGTTGGAAGGTCCATGTGTAGAAAGAACATGCTAGTGATTTCGGGTGGAAGCTTTTGTAAAGGAGCTTCTGTTCCTACAACTCAGTGTTAGCTCAGCTATTGGAGACTCGTCGGAATGCATGGAGAAGGAAATATCGGAAAGGATTGTGAAATATGTGATAAACATACCCTTCTCGAGGCCAGTGGCCCTAAGGGATGACTTTTCGAGAGTCGTCATCTTGATCCTTCAATCCATGGGATAAGATGCTGTGTGAACTCCGCGATATTCACCCGTGCTTGCGGCAGTTATCCTTGGAGAGTTTGTTTTGGCAGTCGACGAAATGGGACAAGGGAAAGATGGGTAAGGAACTGCAGGGTTGTACAATGATCTCCCAAAATTGAAGGGCGCTGGGAAGGTGACGCGTAGGAAAAGCGCGAAAGCAGCTTTACAGACTCAAATGCTTTACATCAACAACTAGCCTGTGACGCGACCTACTCGTGGGTACCTAAGGGATCAAATGTTTATGCAGTGACGTCGTGACACACCTTTATTGACAGGGAGTAAGCAGTAGACTGTCAATAGCAGTCACCACGAAGGACAATTTTTGCTCAATAGCAGGACTTCGGAATCATCTCTTTGCTTCATTGAACCTTCACACATTTTGACAAGCCAACCGATCCAAATATTCCCCTCTCTAATCTGAGTAATATGCTTCCCTACAGGGGATGAAAATCTCATTTGATAGAAGCAGCCGACAGACATAGCTGTCTAGAACCCAAATAAAGGGAAGCAAGATTTCGTTTTGATAGAAGGGGTTAGCCAGACTGTCACTGGCAAGAACTCATCTGTCTATCATGTGCCGCACTCCAAGTAATCTCGTACTTGTAGCTATTAGGGTCTGAGATCCCAAGAGCCAGGTGTGCCACAAGCACACGCGGGGCCATGGAATCTCACTTGATAGTCCCAATTTATACCAATATTCTTAGTGTTGAAGACCAAACTTGATCACCATGTAGTGACAACCATACCAAGACGTTTGAAAAAGAGTGCCTTGATAAGAATGTCACAACCCAAATAAAGCATAGAATCTGTTCTGGTTCCTTGGGGATCTTGCTCAATGCCGTGCAAAGGTTCACTTAGAATCAATAGATCGAAACCCGTTTCTTGAGAAACTCATACATGGCTTGTCGATATTGAGGAATCTGTCCAATGATCAAGCCGATCGGTCTATCTACACATCTCTGCTGCGTTCAATGCTGTGTCTTCCACCACTAGTCTTATGCAGTTGTTTAGTAGCCATCCTTGCCCCACTTGTTGTACTTGTCGTGCAGGCTCTGTGGGATGTTAGCGATATATTCCTCATTTCCACATGACCCAATTGATTTGCAAGATGCCATGGCAAGTTTGATGTCATATGGCTGAATATCTGTACGTACCTTCGGGAGGTTGACATCGGGGACAACCACGACGTTGACGGCGCTCGGGGCATCCTTGGGCTCGGCACGGGCGTCACCACCGGGGTAGTAGCGATACTTGCCCTCGGTAGCACCGGTCTCCCAAGGCATACCAGCTTGGGGAACCTTCTGCTCGGATGTGGACGAGGTCGGGGTGCGGCCTATCGTTCCATTAGCAAGGGATTAAAGGAAGGGGATGACGATTGTAGAATACCGAAGTAGAAACCAGCACCGCCCAGAGCAGCGACCATGACAGCTCCTAGAATCTGTTGTCCACTCCGTCAGTATCCAAGTATGATTTGGGGGCCCAGACAAGTGCAATTGGCATCGCTGCCATTTGTCCGAGGCAAGCTTCGAAGCTTGTATACAACGCACCATCAATTCCGGGTTTCGCTTGGTCTCGGACTTCAGGGCCTGCTCATTGGTCGCGAGCCGGCGGGCAGAGGTAGAGAAAGCTCGGCGGGCAATGATGGACGCCATTGTGGAAGTTATTATGGCGGCGGGAGTTCTGGAGGTCGAGTTGCGGAAGCTTGGAGAGTTCGTGATGTTGTAGGCTCGGGTAACTATGAGGTCGTATGATTTCGAGCTTAGGAACCTTTCGGCAACAACTCTGCGTTGATTGGTCAATGCTTCAAGGTGGTTATGTCACCTGACGCTTGATGCCTCAGGCTAGAAAGAGCTCCGAATGAGGCATCAATTTGATGGCACACCACTGCCAAGAGGCCAGACCACAGAGTGCGTCTGAGCCCACGGCTGGCAAAGCGCAGGGGCCACCGTTACCATCGCTCCTACTTCAATCGGCAGTGGCTCTCCGTATCGGGCAGGTTAATCTAACAATCTTGATGAGGCAGTAGCAGCCGCTGGGTACCGGCAGTGCGTCTTCAGGGCCTTCCCACTTCTGTGGTTCGCTGTGACAGCCCTGTAACTGCCCGCTACGCCAGTGTGTTACCACAGAAAGACAGCGCCCTCGTTCGGCACTAACAATTTCACAAGTGCACAATCTCCCACCCTTATGCATCGCTCCTGCACAGAAGAAATTAGCCCCTTACATGGGTGGTGCTGGCCACTCAGCGGTCGCTGCACAGACGGGATGCCCAGCATGCAGCGCAACTGCAGCCATGGTGCTGCACAGCGCAGAGCATCGATCCCAAGGAAAAGAAACGAAGCAAAAAACATTGTGTTACCTTGCTTCTTTCTGCTCACTTCACCAACTTCCTCTCCTTCGCTCTTCACATTCTGATCCAGGGTCTCAGCCCTTTCCACGCCGTCCTTTTACTCTTCCGTCATCTGATTCTCCCGACTGAGACACGTCGATAACGCTCCTTAGCTCGATACCCTCCCGCAACCGCCGCGATTTCATGACGCTTGCGCCGTAATTTCCGTCCCTACGCGCGCGACCATCTGACTACCGAACAGACCGGAGCAACCGTTGACTGCACCATTCGTAACGACGATATCCGATTCTGCATTCTCTCTCCTCGAATTCGATTCTGTCACCACCGGGGCATCCTACTGCTGCCTGGGGTTTACGACAAAGCATGTCATAGCATAGCAAGGCTCCACTTCTCCAAGACAGTTCTAGACGTTTGCGACCCGGGGTGTGTTTGCTAGGTGTACGAGCATCGCGATGGCCTCTAACGATGATGGCGTGCGACCGAACTCGCCAGGCGAAGATGACGACAGTTTCCCTCAATTTCCACGCTCGGCTGCTGGGCCGCCAAGTATCATATCTTCACGAATGACAGATATCGCTTCAGAGGATGGCGGAGAAAGCGATTCACAAAAGAAGGGGACATCGAACCAAAGAAAGAGTGGGTTACCTTCGGAAGCACTCTCTCGTCCGGGAACAGCTAGGACAGGTCTGTCTTCAAACAGAGGTCCTGGGGGTGCTTGGCCCCAGACCCAACTTCGGCGAGGACTCTCTGGCAAACGGCGCAGTGGTACCACGAGCATCAGTGGCTCGACATCCGGACGGCCTGTCAGTTCAACCAGCAGGAGTCATGTACCGTCGCTCACGTCGCATGCCTTCTTCCACCCTATGAGTTCGCAGAAATTACAGGCCCAGCGTGGAGGAACAAGACCACCCACCCAAAGCCGTGCGCAAGGAAATGCCGAGGACTCGGCACCAGATGCCGGCGCGACAGTTGCAAGACAAAGCGGCGCTTCAAATCCTGTCCCTCCACGCCCGCTCAGCGATGACGAGAATCAGCCTCCGCCGTCGAGAGGAACGGAGATGACCGAGCAAGAAACCCTTGATCGCATAACGGCAAATACCAGTCCCACTCATGGCCATTATCCTACAGCTAGTCTGACCGAGAGTGTTCGCCCACTGCAAAGGAAGACTGCTGAAAGCAAGGGCCTGAGTCTCAATATAGACAAGAGCTACAAGAGCTCGGGCAACTTGCCGACTCCGATCAAGTCACCACGCTCGTTCAGATCAAGCTTCCTCCTCCCTGGTAAGAGCAATGGTGGAGAGAATGGCTCAAATCGCAGTATGCCTGGTGGTGAGAAGCTAGAGTCTGTTGCTTCATCTCCTCAGATGACGCCGACGAATCCCAGCGCGCCACAAGCAAAGGCGAAGGTCAACCAGCCAGTTCAACGTACTCTTGGAAATAACTTTGAGTATTTTGAAGGCAACACAGTCTTTTGCCTGGGTGGTCGTCTGCAAAACGCCCGGCACCGACCTGTCAATATCGCAACAGGCCTCGCCGTCCTTCTGCCTGGGATTTTATTCTTCATCTTCTCTGCGCCTTGGCTCTGGCAGAATATTTCACCAGCGATCCCCCTTATTTTCGCATATGTGTTTTTCGTTTGTTGTTCATCATTCCTTCATGCATCTGGATCGGACCCTGGTGTAAGTATCATGCCTATATATTCTGCCCGTGAAAGAGACTGATGTTTGGTAGATTTTACCTCGTAATTTACACCAGAATCCGCCTCCAGACGAAAATGAGGATCCCCTCAGGTTGGGACCCCCCAGTACCGACTGGACGCTCATTAAGTCAGCTGAATCTTCTACTGCTGCTATGGAAGTCCCTACAAAGTATTGCAAAACCTGTAATATCTGGCGGCCGCCTCGCACTCATCACTGCCGCCTTTGCGACAATTGCATTGAGACAGCCGACCATCATTGCGTGTGGATCAACAATTGCGTTGGGCGGCGCAATTACCGCTATTTCTTCACCTTCCTTACCACGGCAACGATTGGTTCTTTGTACTTCATGGCAGCCTCGCTGGCACAGATCTTGGTGTATCAGAGTAGGGAGAACATTAGTTTTGCTGATGCTATCAGCCACTTCCGCGTACCTTTCTTTTTAGTCATCTACGGCGTTCTGGCATTTCTCTATCCGGCGGCACTCATGGGCTACCATATATTCCTGATGGCTCGTGGCGAGACGACTCGCGAGTTTCTAAACTCCCATAAATTCCTCAAGAAGGACCGCTATCGAGCATTCACGCAGGGCAACTGGGTGAAAAACTGGATCGTCGTGCTGTGTCGGCCAAAGCCGCCAACATACTATCGGTTCAAGAAGGAATATGTGGAGGGAGACCAACGACTCGGTATCAGGAGGGATCAGCGGAAGCCACCTCTCAAGGACAGTCAGCAAGGAATGGAGATGCAAGACGTCAACCCGACACGAAGGAGATTCCAAGGGCCAGTGGCTTTGCGTAATTCAGCACCAACATCAGCGTGAAAAGCACCTGGATTTACTAGATTTTCTTTATTCAGGAGCTACTCATCATCTTCCCCTTCAAAACATGTGGTTAATATGCCAGACAGGGCTAGCCTTCCGATACCTGTAATGTATCATATCCTTCTATACCCCCAGGGCTCATGCTCTAAACAATAAATCATCTTAAAGAGCTTACACCGGCTTTCGGTGCTCTTACAAATCCATAATAAGTTCAAACAAGCTTTTTGGGTCTGCTTCTAGTCATATCTGTAGCGCTAACGGCCACCCGGCATGCCATGCGATCTGATCCTTGGGGCGAGCTCCAACCCCTCTCGGATCTCGCTCCCATATCTTCTCATCATTAATTAGCCCCTGTAATTGACGTCGCTGTGGTTTCTTGGATTTCGCCTAATATCACGGAATGAAATGCTCGGATGCGGGGTCACCGAAGTTGGAGTGTGTGCCGCTCTACAATACCCCGAAGTTGGTGAATGCACCAGCACGCTAACAACTCCACCTTGAGCTCTCCATGAGTTTATTCCACATATCACGCTTCGACAAACATGGCCCCTGGTGGGGAAGGCTGGGGTAGCTTGGGGAAATCTGTATTATTCTGGGGACAGGGCATTCGTCATCACAAGCCACCGTGAGTTCCTTTCCAATTGTTCAATTGAGGAGCTGTAGCTCCGTGCAGCCGAGAGGGCTGTGCCTTGATACGACTCTGCCCAGCTAGCTATAGCATCATGGCTGTTAATTTGCTCCGGGTAGCTTCGTTGCTACTCCAGCTACCGGTACCGAGATTCTTTATATGAGAAGCTTCGGGCCCCTTCGATGATCATGTCACGACTGATGCTTGTCGACCCTTGTTGTAAGTCGAGCAACTGGAAGTGAGCAAGTCGCAATGAGGTTCGGTTTCCTCACATTGAGCACTTTGCTCGCCAGCGCTGCATCTGCGCTCCCAGCAAAGCGTGCCACCGGACCATTCTTGACACAGGTCGACAATGAGACGTGGGTTATTGGCAATGAGTTGTGGAACATGACCCAGGGCAGACAATATGGCGTCAAGCTATTCTACCAGGACCATGATTGCGTAGGGGATGCTGTCGGCCATTATGTCTCTTACAGTATGTTACCACATCTACATGTTAGGAGTTGCACTAGCCGCTAATCAATGGCCTTAAACAGACGGTGCAGCGTCCGACCTCAACTGGACATCAGCATCGATTGTATCGTCTGGTACTCACGACGGCAAGTCCTTCATTGACGTGCTCTTCACCGCCAAAGAGGGCGACTTCCACTGGATCATCTTCGAGGGGCTGGCCGGTGCGTATCAGTACTTTGTCAACCATGCGCTGCCGACTCTAGGCGAGTTCCGTACCTTGTGGCGGCTAGACAACACCACCTTTCCCAATGGCAAGACAGACCAACGCGACGAACCGCTGCCGCCATTGTCCGAATATCTACCACAGAACAAGGTCCAGGACGAGACGTGGCTGAAGCCAGACGGGAGTGGTTACATCACTAAGTACGACTTCACGACTTGGATTCGCACACAGACGTATTATGGAGTATATGGCAGTGAGTTTGGCAGCTGGTATATCAATGCTGGGAAGGATTATTACAATGGAAATCATCTGAAACAAGAGCTGTTCGTAAGTAGAAGATGATTTGTATTGAAGTGTCCCAGTATGTCGGGCTAATCTAGGATCAGGTCCACCGAGAATCGTCCACGGGCGATGCGGTACAGCTCAATATGATTCACGGCACGCATTTCCAAGTTTCATCGTCTGATGTCTTCCCAGATGGTAAGATGTGGGGTCCATGGCTTTGGTATCTGGTAAGAAGACATGATATCTCCTCCACAATCTGCTACTGATGATTTTCAGAATGACGGATCCAAATCTGACGCTGCTGCCCGAGCTGCAGAGGAGTTTGGCTCGTGGCCGTATTCCTGGTTCGAGGATGAGGCCTACCACACTCGCGGCAGCGTCAAGGGCAAGCTAGTTCTGTCCGATGGGCGTCCCGCATCGAAAGCAGCAGTCTTCCTTGGCGATAATCGCCCGAATAAGACGGCACTAGATATGGGCAGTGAATACTACTACACCGGCTATGCTGACGAGAGTGGGAATTTCGAACTCAAAAACGTTCGCGTCGGGACCTACGGTTTCCAGGCATGGTCGAACGGTAGTAGCATCCGGGATGTAAGCACATCTCTCCTGAAGAATGATGTCACCATTAGTGAGGATGCGACTACTGAGTTGGGTACCCTGGAATGGACAATCTCGACCAAGAAGAAACTCTTCCAAGTTGGCGACTTCGACCGCTACAGTTACGGCTTCCAGTACGGAGGAGCCACGCCTCAACATGCGCTAGTGGCCAAGTGTCCTGCCAACTTGACCTACACGGCCGGATGTTCGAAGACGTCCGAGTGGTGCTTCGGCCAAGGCTATAAAGGCAACTGGACAATTCGATTCCTTGTCAAGGACGATCCGCCTATTGCAGGGGTGAAGAACGCCACCTTGATCGTGTCGCTGGCGGGCTACTCATCTGGTGCAAGCGATACTGTCTGGACCAATGACCAAGTCGTTGGAAACTTGACGAGCGGCGCCCCAGGGCTGGCGAGTGATCCGTCGTTGTACAGGTCGGCAACGGCGGCGGGGGAGTGGCGATATTTCGAGTTCGGCTTCGATGCATCTATATTGAAGAAGGGTTGGAACGCTGTGAGGTTTGAACAGACTCGGAATACCACTTGGCACGGCTTCCTCTGGGATTCCATTATCTTGGAATGGTAGATCAAGCAATTCATAGATCAGGGGGAAAGTGTAATGATCCGACTTACATGCAAGTGGGAGCACGTGACCACCTTGAGTAAAGACTTCAATTGTTAGCTTGAATCTGAGAACCTTGAATTTATGCCTGTCAAGACAGCATGCGCAACCTACCAGCTCCGCCTCCGCATTTTTCGCAGCGGAAAAAGAAAATCCTGGACCAGTTGGCGGTGCCGGATGCAGATTACACTGATGCTTCACCCAAAGGCTCGGTAGATGCAGGCATCAGAGATCTCATTGATGAGATCAATGCTCTCGATGGATTCGTGACCACCAGCAGTTGTGCGGGTCGCGTGAGTGTATTTTTGGAAGGCCGAAAAGCCCCAGAGAGAGCTGCGGACACTGCCGATGTCAAAGACGACTCCCCGACTGAAATCGAATATGCTGGTACCGGAGGCAAAGGCGGCGGTGGCAAATGGCTCTTTGTCTCGCACGATCCAGTAGAGAAGGATTGGGAAACTAGAAGCGACATTGCAACGGCGCTTTTGGGACTTGAGAAGCAGAGTTCCGGTGACAATACCGCGACCTTTGAGGAAGTGAGACTTGCAGAGTCTCGGTTGATACACTTCAAGTTTGAGCCGATGGTACGTGTCTCTTTCGCGATTTGCTCGACACGAGCATCCAACGATTCAAATGGTATCAGTGGGACATTTCAATCAGATCACTTACACGACGGACAGATTCTTCATGTTCTCACTGCTTCCCTAGAACATGCGCAAGTCGTGCTACGATGTGGCCTACAAGGAGGATTCCGTGAAAGCGGAGCGGTGAATTTGCTAGGAACAGCACAGGAAAGCGCGACCCCGATGATTGCGATCAGATCTATGGGACTCGGCTTTGAGTCTCTTATTGGGGTAGAGACTCATGAGACGAGACAATGCACCGTCTCTTCCGATTACATGCAAATGCTCATCCAGCTCGCGAATGAGCGATTCGTTGAAAACACGAAGAGGGTAGAGAGATTTCGGTCGGCGTTGAATGAGGCATTGCAGGCCACCAAGAAATCAAATGATGGCTCTGAATGGGAGGACGCTGCTGTGAGAAGAGAACGGAAGAAGGCTGAAGGGTTGAAACGTAGAGCTGAATTGAAGCAACAGCAGGAGCAGCAACAGTTGAATGAGACCATAGAGAGCCTACCAAACAATTGAATTCAACCAATGATGATGATTGTGATAATGATCCGTATGCATTTATTGCTCTATACAGCTTTTGTCTCGAACCTCGTGACCGAACCGGTATAATACACTCCCCTCCATATCTACACAACCGGGGATGATTTCCATCGAGATCTTATGAGACGACCTTGTCCACCCAGCCCTTCTCTAACCGTCGAACCTCATCCTTGAACTTCTCAACCTCTTTCCAGCAGTCCAGTGGTCGCCGATCGTTTTCGCGCAGACATCGTATGACCTCGCTGCGGGCGCTCTCGACAGTGTCTGGCAGCTCACGCACCTTCTTCCTTCCCTCAAGCTTGGCGCGCAGTGCTTCTACCTCCTTTGATACTGTCTGCCGGCTTGGGCTGTCCTTTTCGTCCTTGTCAGTGAGCTCGGAGAGCTTCTCCTCGGCCTCCTTGAGCTTCGCATCTTCCTTTGCTTGTAGACGCTTTAGCTCTTCGGCAACGCGCGCCTGGATCTGGAGTTCGAGGGTCTGCGCACGAGAGGCGTCGGTCTGAAGCGAAGTCAGTTTCGGAGGATTCGAGGACAGGCAACCATTCGCCGTACCTCGGTACTAGATTGCAGAGAGTCAAGCATGTCCTGTGACACGCTCGTGGGTGCTGAGCTAGAAGCGCGAATTTCAGAGTCAATACACGACCAATTGAGGATGACATGAGCATAGAGTCATCACTCACCCCTTCCACACGTGTGGCGGCTGACTGCCGGATGATTTGGACGAGTTTGCACCCATGGTGAGGCTCGTCAATGGTTGTCATGAATTGACGTCTTCGTCTGGCCTGCAGAAATCCAGGTTTCCCAGCGCGGCACTCACGATGGAAATTTCCGGGCCGGGCTAGGTACGTACTTGTGGCCTGTGCTTCTCTACCCGCCGAAATTGTTAGTGTAGCATAGCACCTAAGGGTTAGGACCAGTCGAGCCCTGTGGGGCTTTCAACCGGCTCCCTTGCAGGAGACACCAGGTGCTACTTCCCGCGCAGGATAATCAAGATCCGCGACTTGTCATAAACTAACGCAAACATATCAATAGGACATCGCTGTCGCTGTGCATGGCCAAACAAGGTCGACAGCTGGCCGTTCTCAAGGTTTGCGAGCAATTCACTCTGTTCAGGACCCTATGGTCGATATCAATGCCTTTCTCCGTTCACATCGTATTTCAAACCGTCATGGGAAACAAGCCAAGTGTGAGAGCGTGTGAAGCCAATGATTATCTATGACACGTATTCCGTAGGAAATGAAGTATGAACATCCAAGGAAACTCCAATCTGACGAGTGCTCTGGTAAGCAACAAAGCGTCCGATAGCGCATCGTCTTGCCAGCTATCTAGGAAGCGCCAAGGGATTTCAAAGTGACCTCGTGCCGCTTCTTGTTGTGCCAGAGAGCCCACTCGTCGACCGAACCACCTGCTTTCCAGCGCATCTCCAGAGACACTTCATCACCGGGCTTGACTGGGGACGTTGGCCGCCACTCGAGGACGTTTTGGAAGCTCAGAAGATCCACGATCCGGCCCATACGCAGTCGAACGATGCCATCAGCACTGTTACTGACAGCCATGATGCCCATCCAAGGAATTTGGACTCGCTTCAAGCTGCCGTGCATCATGTATTCCCCCTGCATGGAAAGGTTGTCTCGTTAGTTGGGCCCTTACTCCAAAACAATCTGGTGATGGGGTGGGACGATTGTCAAGGTATGCGTTCTTTGAGAGGGCAAAGGAAGGAGGGCTGTACCTTGGAGAGAATTGTAGCACTATAGCCGCCAGCCTCAATGATGTAGGTCTCTGGGGCGATATATGTCTCGAGGGAGGCAAGAGACTGAGCCACTTTCTGGCCACGGATAGCAGCACCCCTCGCCACAGCCGTCCATCTGCAATTCAATCCTTCCATTAGCGCCAAATATGAGGGACATGGGTCGCACTGAGTAAACATTGTCACTTACGCTATATTCTTAGGTAAAATGACGACCTCGAGGCTCTCTTGAAGCTGGGCTCGCACGTATTCATTAAGACTAAAACCTCCTGTTACAAAGACATACTGTATATGAAAATAGAAAGTTAGTCTCCTGGGATCTGCTGGAGCAATAAGATGTGCGTCATGAATTACCTTTGGCCGTTTCTTTGTACGACGAAACATGTCCTCGGCCTGAGTTTGTACTGCGCCTGCTATACCGTTGACGGCAAAGTCCAGAATGGAAGCAACCTCCTGGCTATAGCGATGCCCACGTCATGGTTAGCTAGCCATGAAAGTGGTTGTGGTGGCTCTGCCATGAGCACGTACCTGAAGAGCTGGAGTCCCTGGTTTTGTCGCCAGCGAGCATAAGTCGCCCTTGAAGTGCCAGCTTCGAGCGAGTCCTCCGGCAGAGGAAACGTCCACGTCTTCGATACACCGCGGCGGAATCTTCGCATAACATTGGTCTCCCAGTTGCGGGCTAGTTTGTCACAGTAATGCTCGTCAAAGCTGACCGAACCATTGAGTATTGACTTAACCTTATCTTGCAGCATGTTGACAAAAATATCTGTCATGACACTGGCCCCACAAAGTTCGCTGGAAGGAGTTGTGATGGGCTTGAAACCAAGCATGTTTTCTCCAGAAGTCATGACGCCGCAGATCGTGTCCTGAAAACTATGTCAGGCTGAAGTATTCGAAGCATCATGGGGTAGTCCTAGGATAGCACTTACGATGGTCAAGCCCCCACAATCGACCACCATGATATAGTCGCCAACCTAGGACGCTGGTCAGTGTCGAGTGTAGCGAGCAGCGTTAGAAGGCAACAAGAACATAGAGACGAGAAGGAGTAGTCATACCTGGACATCAACATCGTGCAATTGCTCACCTCCGAGAAGGTCGAGGACGGTATCAACAGCTGCTTCAGCCTCGGTGAGAAACATTACGGGGCCGTTGCTTCTGAGACTTGACAAAACAGACTTGTCGAAGGCTTCTTGGAACCGGTGATGTGGCCAGGATGCTGGAAGGATCACGATCCATCTAAAGGTCAACTCGTTCATGCCTGTCTCTTGACCTTTTAGGATTTGCTCTTTGCAAACGTCCCAGAGCTGGCCGATATAAGTGGCCCAGGTATCGACGGCTTTCATTTGAAGATCGTTCCTTGTCTTCACAGAGTCTGTGAGGACAGACCAAGTCCTTGCATCGGCGTGCCAGTCATCCTCGTGCAACATGGATTGCTTGAAGTGGCGAAGTCGTTTGGCTCCTGGCACTGTATCGTACCCCCAACCCACTAGTACTCCCGAACAGTTGTAGTAGAGTGCCGTGGGAACAACGAATGGTGTGTCAGAAAGTTTGTCATCTTTGCCAGCTTTGCTCGCAGGGGGTCCAAATGTACACAAAATTCGTCTTTGATCGGGTCCAATGAATGCAACTTTGGAGTAACTAATGGAAGATTTATCAAGGTTATCAGAGTGATTCAGCTTCCCAGTCAAAGTCAACTTACGTCGCACCGATATCAACCCCGACTATGATCTCGTTCGATGATGCCATGACATCTGAAAGTATTCGGTAACGGCTGAGAGGGAGGCTAAGCAATGCATTCGACAAAATCCAGGCACATTACTGATTGCATAAGGAGAAACGGAGTAGTCGCAGCATAGGGCCAGACCTTTTGCGAAAAGCAGGGCTAGCAAAGCAATTAAGTACATTGCACCGTCTCATACCGCGGACCGAGACGTGAGAAGTCCACGGATCCTCCGATTTTCCCTATCATTTGTGACGGCATGGAAGTTGTGTACGATTATGATCTATTCTTTCTGCTAGACAGGGCTCTCAAATGAATTCTGAATTGAGTGGAAGAGAACGTTGGGATCCCATTGGTAAGCCACAAGACTTCTTGTAAACTGCTTTCTGATGAACATGGCTGAGTTCTAGAAGCTTCATTAGCTTCTGACCAGGAATGATCCGATACGTTATGCACCATCTTATGGCCTCAAAACTGCCGGGATCCTAAGCGCCTCTTTCCTCGGAATTACGGATGCGAACTTTCATCATCGAAGAAATTCCTAGTATGGAATCTTCAACCTGCAATGACTAGGTCAGGTCCGTACGTGGTTGACTCATGACCCATAAAATATCCTCTGCCAAGTCTGTCTTCGACTTTATGCCAAATTAAATCAGGCCAAGCTAATATCTCCTCCCCGGACTCGCAGGCTAAACTAACAAATGAATTTCTCATGATTAGCTTGCTGGAGCTGAAAATGTCTTACCACTAGATAGGGTACGGCTGAAGTGCGGGTTGTGATACATCTGAGGTAAACTAAACAAAGGGCTATTTCAACAAATCCGCGAATCCGGGAAATAGACATCAGCTGGATTAAATTTGGTACAAAGCTAAAGACAGACTTATTGAACATCTCTTTATTTAGTTGACTTTAGATACGTTATGAGCGGTGCACCCTTCAGCCGTACCCTATCTAGTGCTAAGTCATTTTTCGGCTCTAACGAGCCAATCACGAGAAATTTCTTTGTTAGTTTAGCCAGGTTTGGACGTATTTGCGAAAGACACGTCGGAAATGGATGGCTTTGACGCAAAAGTCCAAGTGAAAAGTGATTGTTGCCAGGTGATTAATTGTATTCAAATGAGTGATCAGATCCGAGACTCCAGGTAGCAGCTTGTTTGAGCTTCCACCTCGCTCCCTTCCTCCTTTATCCTAACCACCCTGCCTTTCCGAACTTCTAGCATACCTTAAGTCGATTGCTGCTCACCTCCACAACCGCTCTCACCTGTACTTTCATACTCAATTCAACGCTTCTTCCAAAACTTCTCACAGTCAGTATGCCTCAAACTCGCAGCTCTACTAAGAGAGGCATCGCGCAAGTCAGCGCCGACGGTGCCATAGAGGATCCAAATGACCGTGGCGAGCAGCTTGCAAAGCCAGGCCTGCAAGTCTCCGATGATAGCTGTTCTATTGAGTCTCCAGACGAGAATCGTCCCTCAAGCTCCACGGATGAGGACCGAGGAGAACTATGTGTACCAGTAGGAATCACTGGCCATGAAGTCCCTCGGGAGGTGCTCGTGGACAGACTCGTTGGATGGCAGAATAAGTACGGCACGGCGGTGGGTTGGTTTGAGGATAAGATCCAATACAATGTGAAAAATTTGAAGCATTTCCTCAACATCTTCTACGAGTCTGGTAATTCAGATCAATATAGCATGTTGAAGGCATACGAAGCTCTCAACGACGAATGTCGGTACACGGCTTGCCACGGCTTCTGCCATGTCACTTGGTCAAGTTTGCGGCCGGACGAGCAGGACAAACTCAGGGGTTGGGCACCCAACGCCGAGCAACTCATGGTCAGCAGCACTGGCAGAGAAGCCCTCTTCACTGCATGGATATGGCACATCCTTGTCGACAAGGTCTTCTCCGCAGATCCCTCCACCAAATGGGAAGCGGCCAACGACACACGTCCAAGGGCAGCGGCCTGGCACCATGTGGCCCAGGCTATGAGCATCTTGCAAAGTAAATATTCCCCGGCTCCCGGCCTCACTTTACTTGGTTAGCAACGCCTTTTGCTAACACCTGATTTCTCTGCTTGTAGAATTTGATTGCCAAGAATGGGACGCCGAGCCGAATGGCGGGTTCGCCACAAAGTATCACATATGGAGGGCGCTGTCTGCGGAGCTCTCGCGCAGGGCGTCCGGCGAAGCGGGGACACTGCCACGTGAATACGGAGCACAGCTCATCAAGGACGAGCTGGGCCATCTGATGGATACTGAGAAGGTCGCATTAACATTGGAGCACTTGAGCGACAGTGCTACGAACCTTGACTTCTTGCTGATGAGCCGTTCGGTCAAGACGGAGTTCAGGTGGCATAGAAAGCAAGACCCGCCTACCGGATTCCGATTCACAAAGGCCCTCGACGAAGGCGAGTATTACAAGCCCATGCTTGAGAATGTGCTGCACTTGACGTTCAGCCTGGAACCGGACCCCGATTTCGAAGGCGCACCGGTTGAGCTCGTCAGTAGCCCTGGCATTGCATCCATAGGAAGGCACTTTCAAGAACCGTGGAACCACACCAGGTGGGACCAGTGTTCTTGGCTTGCCCCAATGACGACGGTCGTCGGGAACATTCCCGGCCCAGATCCGGTATATAAACCACCGACCGAAGCCGAACTGAAGCGGAGCCTTGACTTTATGGCGAAGTTCATCGGAGAACGGCCCAAATCCATATTCGACAAGCCTAAACCACCGGGCGGTGTTTGATCAACCAATCGAAGCTGAAGCACCGCCTTGGAGCATCTCAACATGCGCTGAAAAAAGGCTGCGCTCTGAAATCAGACTTAGCGGTGAGGAGGGGAGAGGAATGGCAACTGGTAAATCTGGCAAATGTTTGTATCAAGTCAATACAGCTGTGGAGATCCCTTTGGGTGTCGAGGTCATATGAGTGAATAATTGGAGGTCTAGTCTAGACTTCGCCCCAGGAATGCCTAGTCCCATTTCATTCTGTTCTTCAGCCTATGCATCCTTGTGCCTATCCAAATATTTCCATCCACTATTGAATAAATCAAACGGGAAGACAAACCACTAGATAGCTTGGCATTCCCGTACACAGTCCCTCTTCCAATCTGGGTTGGCCTTCCTGTCTGGAGCCAAGAGCTGATAACCTTTGAAGTGAAAAGGAAGGAAATAGCGGTCTATATTCTGCATGATTGGTCTAGCAATTGTAAGGGTGAAGAAATCCTTACTGAATGAAGCTCAGGAGGGACCGTAGCCAAGCTAGGTCTTCCTGGCATGGGAGTTCACACAGGCCAAAGAGATATAGCCGTGTAACACATCGGGCGATGTGATAGCCAGCCTGCCACGCCCAAGTAATGCCCATCATGGGTCCAGGAAGATGCGGCGACATATACAGTGTCAGCAAATCAAGCCAGTACTTTTTGGAGAAGCCCCTCATGTACATACTTCTCACGGTGATCTATTGTGGTGGACCGGCATGTCTCGTATGATGCGGCAATCAATCCATCTATGATTCGCGCGGGCGCGCGCGGGCGCATGCTTACGAGCTACCTTGTATGTTGCCTGCCTGCCTCTCCGCCTCCCCGGCCTTGACCTACACCGCCCACCCCATATTGAACAGCTTGACCACCACGCCGCGCTGTCGGACCTTACGCAGCCGCTTGTGCTGTGGTTTCAGCCCCCTTCGCTTCCTCGACGTCGCCCGTGGCTGATGTACGTCGCCACCAGCACGTCCCGCACGCGGCCCTTCTCCGGCAGCCGCGTCTGGAGTATACTCATTTTGACAACTGTTGCCCGTCATTTTCATGGACCGACCGAGCAGAGCCAGAATTGTGGCAGGGAAAATATTGAATGCCTCGTGTTTCCTGGAGCTGACAAGGCGAAGTCTCGACCTTAGGCATGGGCGCATACCCAGAACAGGAAACGGTTTCCCTGTTCAAACCCTGTGAGCTGGAACCAATCATACGAAACTCTCACTATCGGAGCAAGATTCCCAGCTTTGGCACCATAACAGCTAATCAATGAGATAAAAGAAACAAATGCAATCTTTGTGAGGTTATCACTATACGGTCATAAGCACGCAAGCACGTTATTGTTTCTGCCGGCTAACTACTCTCGATGGTACTGACACTACTGACTCTTCTGAAGTGCCAAGTCTATCGATAACCCCAGACAACTTGCTTTAGACTCTTCTTTGTTTTCAAACTTGCTTTGATTTGAAAAGGTTGATAAAAGTCACATAACAATACTTTATGCTTTCTTACCCAACATGACAAAAGCTGCACGGCGCAACAGTCTGGCGAGGCGGTTTTTCGCAACCTTATCTGCATTGCTCCGCCAGGGTAATAAACGTTCATTTTTCCAAAGGAGCCTGTCCTACATGCCTCTGTTCATTACCATAACCCGACCACGTCTGTACAAGTAGTAATCCCTTGAAGTGCTCATCATACCCTTGCCGAACTAACAGTAACTAGCTGGCGGAGGAGTATCTGTGGAGCCACCGAGGCGGTCGGAACCGCTCCGACAGAGTGGGCCATGACAGCAATCGGCTTGGTTATTAATTCGATAAGGAGAACAGATGAAAACGACGACCTATCGCGATGCATCCGAACTGACAGCATCGCTCGTAACGCATGCGAGATTCACTTTGCCCGATCTCAGTATACTCGAACATGACTGGGGTCCGGGATCACCACGCATTCTCCTTGAGATCTGGGTCCGGTTCCGTCTCAACGACCCAAGCTCGTCAGCAGTCGATGAGCCTTTCCCGGCACGAGCAGGGCATCCGTTCAAACACGCTGTTGACAGTTCCCGCTAGGACTAGTAGGAGGTCAAGCGCCGCTTATTCTCGTGATCGTGAGATACCGGCGTGCGACAGATGCCGGAGTTTCAAGAAGAAGTGCAGTCGTACATTTCCCACCTGCCGTCTCTGTGCCAATGCCGGCCAGAAGTGTTCCTTCTCCATTCCCGTTACATCTGACGCCGCGGAGGTTCACCATTTGCGTGCGAGACTTAGATGGCTCACCCAGTACATCAATGGATGCCTCCCTATTGGTGTTTCCGGACTTGACGGTGTTGATACGGGAACAGACTTGAGTGTAATCTTCTCTGTCGAGGTTGCGTACTCGCCAACTGCTGACTTCCAACTCGGCTTATCGACGCTTGCGGAAGGTACACCTGGCTTCGCAAGTGCCAGTAATCAAAGTACGTTGGGAGGGCACCCTCGAGCCGGCTCCGTCCTCTTTGAGCAGGCCAGCACAACTGCCAATCCTGGTGTGGATTGTATCTCGTTGACAGATCATGGCCCTGGCGCGGTTCAGCTCCCTGAATCGCTCCCGCTTACGGAGATTAACCACGACAAAGTCACGCCGCTCGATCCTCCAACACTCCCTAGGGATGCTGCGGGACGGAGATTCGTTGATGCCTTCTTTCGGAACGTAAACACAGCATATCCTCTTGTCGACCGGACTAGTGTACTTCAAAGCTTAGAATCCATCCGGACCATACCATTTAATCGTCGCTCAGATGCGGATTCCACAACATTATATTTAGTGATGGCGATAGGCTGTACAACATTGCAACGAGCTGGTCAAATACCAGACGACACCATGTCAAAATTCGATATTGCCTACACAGATATCATAAAAGAGTGTCTAATTCGAGAAAATATCGAGTCTGTACAGATACTAGTTTTACTCTCTTTACACTCCCTTTTTGATCCTAATGGTATATCCACGTGGTCAATCGTGGGTATCGTCTCGCGAATGGCGCTTCGTCTGGGATTTAGCCGGAAAGAGTCAGAAGAGAGATACGTGTCATCCACTGAGATTGAGCTCCGGCGCCGACTATGGTGGAGTGTATACGTTCTGGATAGGATGATAGCTATATCTATGGGCCTCTCTGTGGCTCTTGTTGACAAAAACATGGATGTTAGTCTCCCTGGACTTACTGTTGATGAATTTACATCTCCAGAAAAGTCATCCTTCATGTCAATTCTTCAGACAAACCGCCATATCATTCGGATGCGACAGATCGAGGATCAAATCCTGAAAGATGTACACTTAAAGAAACACTCGGAAATCGCTACCCTATCTGCAACAAATCGACAGGCTATCCTGCAAAACATAAGAGCCATGATTGAGGATTGGTATAGCCATGGGTGTCTCTTAGCGCCACTAGAACATGATAACGTCCCATTCTACGACTCGATTACGTGGCAGAGCGCTCGGTACCATAACCTTCTCGTACTTCTTTATTATCCTTGCCCGTTTAATTCCTTCAACCCATTATCAACACATAAGCTCCTTGAATTCGCCCAAAAGCATCTACAGTCAACGTCTTTACTCCTACAACAGCGGCAATTACCCCTTAACAGGGTAACACTTTGCCGTCTATTGCCCATTGGGCTGGTGCTCTTTCATAGTCTGCTATCCCCTACCAGCCATCACCCCAAGTCACAAGTGCGAGAAGAATCAGCGATCATAATCGCAATTCTTGAGGCTTATCCAGAACCATGGGAACAAGCACAAAGACTGGCACAAATTTTTCGACAATTTATGGCCATTATATCGGGCATCTCTAACGAGAGCCCGCTTCAGTTCTCAATCCCATCTTACGGCAATATCGAGCTGGAGTTGTCAAAAGATTTATATAAACAGATGCTGCGGCCTTTATTCATTGGGCTGTTGACCCTCACGAAAGAAGTCCTTGGTAGCGCGACGTGTTATTCATCTCTTGATTTTCAGGATGAGTGTGGTCGCATAGACAATACGATACTCAACAACTCTGGACAACAAGCGCCAGCGATACCGCCTCAGCGGACAACATCGAGCTCGGACTCTTTCACGGCAGTGCTTGACGGTGATGAATCTTCAATGAATTATGACTGGGGCCCTCTTGAACTAGGTTTCATATAAGCATCTTGGTTGCCCTGACCTAATGAACCATCCGCCTGCTGTACCCCTGGAGCCACGACTGAGAGCTGCCCATTAGCGAATTTACGCACTAAATCAATATAAATCCTCATAGTGTAGCTAAACCGTAATGTTTTTACCAAGCCACTCCGTTCTAGGTTGTTTAATCTATCGTTAGTATGAATGGAACATACAGCGGAGAGAATACAATGCTCCAATTGCACGACTGACAAGCATTCTATTCAAAAACTTTTCCAGTCTTGGGTATTTTCCCAAGCATATGCGGCCTTTAATATCCCAGTCTCATCCCAGTATCTCCCTACAATTTGAAGACTGGCTGGAAGTTGTATTTTGGGATCTTCCTTGGCCGGGACGAACCCGATCGGCATAGCAAGGGCCGGATGCCCCGTTCCATTGAATGAAGACGTATTCTCTAGCTTGCCGGCTGAAGCGTTCGCTTGCTGTAGAGGTGTAGCGCCTTGAAGCGGATAAGGATTGCTAGGCGTGACTGTCGTAGGCATGATTAGAAAGTCGACCTCCTGGAGGGCCATATCGTACATGTCCTTAACCTTGCGCATGAGATTAACCGCCTTGGGATAAGCTAATGTGTACTGTTCCCATCCTATCTCGCCTGCAAAGAGACCCTCTTTGCTTGTAATGTTCATCTTCGGGTTGAGATCAGTATCAGCAGGTAAAAGTGTCTCCAAATCCAAGAATATCTTACCTTTTCTATTGCTTCCTGAGTGTAAGGGAGATTTTTCTTTTCGAATAGATCGGTAAGAGCGACTACTCTCCTTCCTGTTGCTCTCCCATACATGCCCATATGATTGCCCA